TAATGTTGGGAGTTAGGCCTAATTTCATTTTTTTCTTCATACAAATGGATAAAAGTCTCAGACCCTTATATTGACAAATCTCTCCTTGCTGCCTGCTCTGCTGTGGCTTCTGTGTAACACCTAAGTATCCATATGGGCGTGAGACTGTTTTTGAGCTCATGCCTCTTTTCCATAGTACCTTAATTCCTGTAACTTACTCTCTTTTCTTTTTTTTTTTTTTAATAGATTTTATTTATTTATTTGACAGAGAGATCACAAGTAGGCAGAGAGGCAGGCAGAGAGGCAGAGGAGGAAGCAGGCTCCCTGCTGAGCAGAGAGCCGGATGCGGGGCTCGATCCCAGGACCCTGAGATCATGACCTAAGCTGAAGGCAGAGGCTTTAACCCACTGAGCCACCCAGGTGCCCCAATTCCTATAACTTTCAGATAAATCCTGATACCGGGTAGAGTGTATGTAGGAATGCCTTAGGTATTATTGGCTCTTTGTATTTCCATATCAGTTTTAGAATCAGCTTATCAGGTTCCATAGATTTTGATTGGGGTTAAATTGAATCTGTGAATCACTTTGCAGAGAATTAATGTTTTTACATTATTGAACTTCAAATCCATGATTATGATGTATATCTTCATTCATTTATATCTTCTTTAAAATCATTTAATAATGTTTTAAATTTTCTTTAAAGAGGTCTTGCCTAGTTTTTGTTCACTTCCAGTGTACTCAACATTTTTAAAAGATTTTATTTATTTATTTATTTATTGAGCGCTAGTCCAGGGAAGAGCAGGGTGGGGGTGGAGGGGGAGAGTCTCAAACAGACTCCGCGCTGAGCAGAGAGCCTGATGTGGGGCTTGTTCTCACAACCTTAAGACCATGACATGAGCCGAAATCAAGAGTTGGAAGCTTTACTGACTGAGCTACGCAGGGACCCCTTGACAATTTTTATCCAGGTATACATGGTATACATGGTGTTTTATTTTGTTGTTTAGCTTTATATTGTTTATATAGGGAAATGTGATTTTTATGTGCTGATACTATATGTAGCAACCTTTTTATTATCATTTATCTATAGATCCTTTTGAGTTTTCTGCAGATGTAGGCGTAATAGTTGCAAATGACTGCTTTTTTTTTTTCTTTTCTAGTTCCTATACCTTTTAATTCTTTTTCTTATTTTACTACACCAGCTAATGTTCAATAGGACTGGTAACATCAGACATTCTTCTTTTGTTCTTAATCTCAGAGAGACCAATTTCATGTCATTTGCAAGATTTTTTGGAAGCACCCTTTATGGGTTATGGAAGTGCCCTAGTCTTTTTTTTTTTAATTTATTTTTTATTTTTTACTAACATCTAATTTATTATTTGCCTCAGGAGCACAAGTCTGTGAATCAGCAGGTTTCCTAGTCTTATTTTTCTAAGAGGTTTTGTTTGCCTTTTAATCATAAGTAAATGTTGAATTTTGTCAAGTACTTGTCCTGTATCTTTTTAAGTGGTCACAAGACTTTTTCTTTTAATCTGTCAATATAGCAAATTTCACTGATTAAAATTTTTAGAGTTAAAATCACCTTGGATTCCTGAGATAGACCAAACTTGGCATTTGCATTTTTGCTCATAAATGAGAGTGGCTTTTAGTTTTCCTTTCTTATATAATTCTTTGTAAGTTTTAGTATCAGGCTGTGCTACCCTAAAATGAGTTGGGGAGTAAGTCTTTTTTTTCCTATTCTCTGGTGCAAGTTTTACATAGTATTGGGATTACTTCTTGGGTATATTTGGAACTGGGATATTTGTGTGTGTTGGGAGGACAATTTTAAAAATTACAAAGTAACAATCACAGGAGTATTCAGATACTCTAGTTCTTTGTGATTCAGGTTTGCCTATTTTATCTATATTTTCTAGTCACTTAGCATAGGATTGTTCATAATACTCTTTTACCCTTAATGTCTGTAGAATCTATAGTTCTGTAGCTCTTTTCATTCCCAGTATTGGTTATTCCTGTCTTATCTCTTCAGTTTGCCAGAGAGGTTTGCCAACTTTATGTTTTCAAACAATTTTTGGCTTTGGTGCTCTGTTGCGTGGTTCATTTTCTGTGTCATCAGTTCTGCTTTTTTATTCCTTCTGTGTTTTTAAGGTTTATTTTGCTATTCTTTTTCACTTCTTCAGGTAGCTGCCTATTAGCTTATTGATTTCAGCTTTTTCCCCCAATACGTGTGTTTAAAGCTGTGCATTTCTGTTTGTAAGTTCTGCATCCACAAGTTTTGTTATGCAGTGTTTTTTTGTTTGTTCGTTTCTAAGATTTTATTATTTGACAGAGACAGATCACAAGTAGGCAGAGAGGAAGGCAGAGAGAGAGAGAGGGAAGCAGGCTCCCTGCTGAGCAGAGAGCCCGATGCGGGACTCGATCCCAGGACCCTGAGACCACCACCCGAGCCGAAGGCAGCGGCTTAACCCACTGAGCCACCCAGGTGCCCCTATGCAGCGTTTTTATTAGTGTTCATTTCTAGATAATTTTCCATGTTTCATTACGATTTATCTGTTGACTCATGGGTTATTTAGCAGTTTGTTTCTTAATTTTAAATACATGAAGATTCCATTTAACTTTTTTGTCATTAATTTCTGTCTTAATTGAACTGTGGCTAGAGTGTTCCAGATTTCAGACCTTCAGTGTTTGACTGTGGCTCAGTGTGCTGTGGCTTGTTATGAATGGTTGATGTACGCTGGAAAGAATGTGTGTTCTGTAGATGTCGGGTGTATTATTCCATAAATATCCATTAGGTCATGTTTTTTGTTTTTATTTATTTTTATTATTTATTTATTTAAGATTTTATTTATTTATTTGACAGACAGAGATCACAAGTAGGCAGAGGCAGGCAGAGAGAGAGGAGGAAGCAGGCTCCCCGCTGAGCAGAGAGCCCCATGTGGGGCTCGATCCAAGGACCCTGGGATCATGACCTGAGCTGAAGGCAGAGGCTTAACCCACTGAGCCACCCAGGCATCCCATATTTTTTATTATTATTATTACTTTTTTAAAGGTTTATTTTTGTGAGAGAGAGTGGGAGAGAGAGTGCATGTGAGTTAGGGGAGGGGCAGAGGGCAAACATCTTCAAGCAGGCTCTTCCCTGAGTGTGCTTGGAGCTCTGTGCTGAGGTCTGGAGCCCAACACAGGGGCCCAGTGCCATGGCCCATGAGATCATGACCTGAACTGAAACCAGGATTCAGACACTCAACAAACAGCCACCCATGTGGTCCTAGGCCATGCTTTTTAATCCTGAAGTTCAAATCTTATATATTTCATAGATTTTTGTTTTACCTGCTTTATTCTGTCAGATACTGAGAGTTGTCAAAATGTCCCATTACGGTCCTTCCTGTTACATCCTCCTGGGAAATGAAATCTTTAAACTGTATATGTCTATCTCATATTTTTTACTTTAGATTTTCTGTTGCTTAATCTTAACATAACTGTACTTTTAAAAAAAAATTACTATATAATTACTACTTTTGAATACCATTTTTTAAAAAATTACCCATCCTGTTATTTACAGTCTTTCTGGTTCCTTGTTTTATGTGTGTCTCCTATAACCAGTGAACTGTAGTGTTTAAGTCCAGCCGGGTAATCTTTGTCTTTTAACTAGAGCAGGTTAATCAGTTCGCATGTGATATAATTACGGTACTTACATATTTGAATTTATACTTCCATTTTATTTTAGTCTCTCCATTTTTTTTCTCTTTTTTTCTCCCCTCCTTTTTTTGAATTGATTTTTCAAATAAATTCTTTGTCCCCACGCTGTTAGTAGTATGGAAATTACACTTTCTATTTCCCTTTTTTCAGTTGTCTCCTGAGAGAGTCCGGGAGGCATTCTCACTACTGAAGTCCAGTGTTAATCATTACCTTTCCGGTAGAAACCCGTAACTCCATTTGTTCTCTTCTAACTCAGGTGCTGCTGTTGTCATGTGTTTTAGTTCTTTGTATATTTTTAAATCTCACATGACATTGTTTTATATAGGGAATATCCATGTAAACTTACCCATATATTTATTATTACCTTTTAAAGCTTTTTATTTTTTTCTTGCATCAGACCACTCTGTGATCATCTTCCTTTGGCCAGCAATATGTCCTTTGCACTTCCTTTACTGTGGGTTAGCTGGAGGTGAACTCTCAGTTTTTGGTTGACTACGAATACATCTCCCCTCTCCTTCTTGAAACATATTTTAACTGAATACTGAATGCTACGTTAATAGAATTCTAGGATGGGGGATGGGGTGGGAAGGAAGGGAGAGAAAAGAGAGAGATCATGAGAGCTCTCTGGTGTCTCCTCTTCTTCTTTTCTTTATTTTCGAATTTATTATCTGTTTGAGGGACAGCATGAGTGAGAGGGGCAGAGAGAATCTCAAGCAGACTCCATGCTGAGCATGGAGCCTAATGTGGGGCTTCCCTGGAGGCTTGATGTGGGACTCTTCTCGGGGCTTGATCTCATGACCCCAAGATCACCACCCTGAGATCATGACCTGAGCCAAAACCAAGAGTTGGATGCTTACCTGACCATACCACCCAGGTACCCCTGGCGTTTCTTCTGAGAACACTAATCCTGTTTTATCAAGGCCCCACCTTTATGACCTCATTCAGTCATAATTACTCCCATAGGGCCCTATCTCCAAATACACTGATGGGGTTACAGCTTCAACATGTGAATTTGGGGAAATACAAACAATGAGTCCACACTAGGTGGCATTTACATAATGGTTGAGGGTCTTATGGCTTCTAATTACTTCTGATGTCTCTATTGTTGATAATAGTGAATCACTTTCCATGTATTTGGGCATATTCTTCCCCATAATTATTTAGCAAGTGTATAGGGAGGAGAATAAAATTTATCTTTGCATATGTTTCTTTAATCTACAGAATTTGTTGGTGACGTTGTTGTACACTTCCCGGCTAAATTCTAACCATCTGCTGTAGTTAAGTAAAGATTTTCAGCTTATTTACATATTGACTCTATTTTTCTTTATCTAGCTGTGTTGGTGTAGAAGAACATCATGCTGTTGACATTGACCTTTATCACTGTCCCAACTGTGCCGTTCTACATGGCTCCTCCTTGAGTAAGTACTAGAAACTTAAATAAAAACTGAAGTTTAGAATTTAATGTGTACATGACAATATTTTAATAATACTTTGACTAGTTATGTTACACCCACCAAGAACTATAGGGAATATTTTTCTGAAGATACTGAGAATACAATTTCTTTTTTTTTTTAATTAATTAAAAAAAATATTTTTATTTATTTATTTGACAGAGAGAGAGATCACAAGTAGGCAGAGAGGCAGGCAGAGAGAGAGGGGGACGCAGGCTCCCAGCTGAGCAGACAGTCCGATGTGGGGCTCGATCCCAGAACCCTGAGATCATGACCTGAGCCGAAGGCAGAGGCTTTAACCCACTGAGCCACCCAGGCGCCCCATGAGAATATAATTTCTGTCTGAATTGCTGAATAACATTTGATAAATCAAGAAGATAAATTGAAAAAAATAGTGTCATTCTTTTTTTTCCTTTAAAGATTTATTTACTTTAGAGAGAGAGAAAAAATGAGTGTGTGTGAATGGGGGACGGGACAGAAGGAGAGGGAGAGGGAGAGAATTTCAAGCAGACTCCCTGCTGAGCATGGAGCCTGACATGGGGCTTGATCCCACGACCCCAAGATCACCCTGAGCCAAAATCAGGAGTTAGACATTTAACTGTTTAACGGGCAAAGCCACCCAGGTGCCCCCAAAATACTGTTGTTCTTAATTGCAAGGGCAAAACCCCCAAACTTAAGGGCATGTATTCAATGCTTTCAATTTGAGAAGTGTGGAAAAGTAAAGTTTGCTGATTCTGGAAACTGATTTCAAATGTTTTTATCTCTTTATAAATTGAAAAAAAAAAAAACCTTTCAGTAGTAATTGGGACAGTGTACAGGATAAGGCTTTAATGCACACACATTCATTATTTTTGGGGAGATTTGGGTATCAAAATGCTGAAATGTTATTCTGTTTTCTGATATTGGTCTTCAGTTTGAGTGTGGCCTAGAGTCCTGCCCAACTTGAGACAACACCCCTGACCCAGTCCCATTCTGAGGAAGGCAGAGGCCTGAGCAAGTGTCTGCCTACACTTTCCTGCTTGAGTTAAATATCGTTTTATGTGTGATATTGGTACACCCCAGAGAGCACATGAACTTCCTAGCCTGTGCTCTTGATTTTAGCTCAGAGGTGATCTTGGGGTCGTGGGACCAAGTCCCATGTCAGGCTCCATGTGTGGGGGGTCTGCCTGAGATTCTCTCCCTCTCCCTCTCCTCCTGTCCCTGCCCCCACTCACACACACTTGCTTTTTCTCGCACTCTCTCTCCAGAATAAATAAAACTTTAAAGGGAAAAAAAAAATGCCAGTATTTTTTTCCATTTTTTCTGTTAGAATTAGTAATTTACCTAATATCTTTGTAAGAGATTTAGAAATTCAGGCTGTAAGAATACATCAAAATATTACATTAAATTTCATAAAATATTAAAATACACGTTATCCATTTTATTACACAGTATAAAATTTGAGGTTAGCAAATTGGTAGAATTTTTTGTGTAATTGGCAATTTTATTGTCATAAATGTTTTTAAAGCTTCTTATTTTGTGCAGCAGTGAAGTATGTGGTATATAACTTGGAATGATTATTGACCAAGCATAATTCTTGGAGGAAATAAATAGTACTGGGTTGTTACCTCAAGAAAGGAAACAGAACTAAAATTTATAATACTTTTAGTTTAGAATTTATATAATTTCCAAATGAAATAATTTGAATTTAATTTCAATGAAATACTAAGTGGGTTACAATGAGATGGAACAATGTTGTGTTTAAAACACTATGATACGTGATGCATTCTGTTTTGTTTTACCTATATGATTTAATTTTTTTAAAAAGCTTGTCATGCTCACTAAATTGATTTCATAATCCATAATGGATCATGACCTGTACTTTGCATAATGATGCTTCAGAGAGAAGCTGGACTGTTGCGTGGCCCTTCGTATACTTCTCGTGCTTGAATCACATAAGATCAGGAATTGGTTATCTTCTGGGCAAAAGTCCAGCACTAAATACCCACAGGGAAAATGTCCAAGATTCAGTAATTTGTTCTATCTTAATTTAAGGCTCACCTTCCCTCCCTCTCACCCTACACCCTTAACTTGGGTCATTCCTTTTGGCCCCTTTCCCTCTGCTGTTAAGCCTCTCTCATTTGCCACCTAGGGCTTCCTCTTTTCTCAGAGTTCCCCAGGAATCCTTATTGTAGATACTGTTCAGACAGTGTAATAGTCACTTGGTATGGTGAATTTAGATTTGACCCTTTTAATGGGAGTTAAGAATTTGATTTAAGGTCAAGTATCAAAAAAGCCCCAGACTTACGTATCTCAGTGTTTCTCAGGCACATGGAGTCTAAACTCAAAATTTTCTCTCCCGGTGATGGCTACCAGAATATTCCTTCCTTTAAGAAATTCAGTCAGCTTCTTGCAGTGGCTGATTTTATGTGTTAAGCATGTTGGCCTAACAGGACAGTTGTAGCATCTCTGTCAACATTGTGCAGATCTGCTCATTTAAAAGGAAAGACAAGTAATTGGCAGCTTTTTGGATGCCATAGGAACTCTGCTAAGAAGTACTTGACTTATGTTATTTCCTCCGATATTTGTGACCTGTTGAGGTGAGAAAAATGATTGAACCAGCTCTTTCACATAGTTATTTGGCAGAGTTGGAGTTTGAGCCGATAGCTGTTCAATCCCAGATCTATTCTAATTCTAATCTGTTCTGCCAAAATGAAATTTAAAACACTATAATACTGTAGTTTACCTACCAAATGGATAACTTTGTCTTTTTTTTAAGTTCAAATTTAAATTAAATTTTATTTTTTAATGATGTATGTATGTATTTGAGAGAGAGAGCAAGCATGTGCAAGTGAGGGAAGGGGCTGAGGGAGAGAGAGACAACCAGACCTCCCTGCTGAGCGGGGAGCCTGATGCAGGGCTCGATCCCAAGACCTCTGGATCATGACCTGAGCTGAAATAAAGAATCAGATGCTCAACCAACTAAGCCACCCAGACACTCCTCTTTTTTTTTTTTTTTTTTTAAATGGTGATGCTCACTGTTGACCCAGGGCTTCGAAATAGGCTGCTTGTGTATACCGGTAAGAATGTGAGTTACCTATCACTTTTTTGGAGGCAGTTTTGCAATATGTAGCAAATATCTTAAAAATATTGAGTCTTTTGGCATTTCTAGGAATTTCTCCTGAGGAATTAATGAGGGAAACAGATTTATGTATATGAATATTAATCTCAATTTTGTTTGAAGAAAGATTCAGAATGAGCTAAGTGCTTAAGAGTCAAAAAAGGATTATAAAGTGATGCATCTATATCTATGTCTTAAAATTCTAGGCTGCTTTTAAATTGCTTTTGAATATTTAATAAGGAGAAAAATGTTCATGATAGAATAAGAAAGGTAAGCAGAATGAACATCATGATCCCAGTTGAAAATAAAACGGGGTTATGTATCTATATATATGTAGAACAGAAGCCTAGAATGAAACACCCTTGAATTTTACAAGTGATTTTAAATGAGAAAAAATAACACACGAAGGATGCCTTAATGGCATTTTCTAGGAAGGTTGCTTTATGATACTATTTTTCTCATGAGACTTTTAAAAAATGGGATTTACTGTTTTCTATATTGAGGGTTTGACTGCCATGAATTACTTGAGAATCTTGTTTTAAACCCTCAGAAATGAATAAGCCCAATTTCCTCCCTTATTGGTTATTTAGTGTGACTTCTTATCCAGATGAGGATCCAGCATTAATTTATTATGATCTTTTAGGGTGAAGGTTTGGAATAACTTAGACTCATAGAGTTCCCCTGGCTCCATGTTTTATTAGGAAAACATTGAAACATATGGGAGAGGTTGAAAGAATTTGGTTGGGAGTACTTCCAAACTCACCATGTAGGCTCTACTATTAATATTTTATACTACTTGCTTCACTACACAGTCTCGTATCCATTTTTTTTTTTTTTTGGATACATTCTAAGCTAGTTGTAGACTTTAGTACATTTCCTAGAGTCATGAAGGTTTTAGGCTTAAGAGTGATTTTCTTTTTTCTTTTTAAGGATTTTATTTATTTGTCAGAGAGGGAAAGAGGGAGAGAGGAGAGAGCACAAGCAGGGGGAGTGGCAGAGGGAGAGGCAGGCTTCCTGGTGAGCAAGGAGACCAACCAGAACTCGATCCCAGGACCCTGGGATCATGACCTGAGCTGAAGACAGTGACTTAACCAATTGAGCTACCCGGGTCCCCTGTAAGAGTGATTTTCAAACTTAAAAAAGGATATAAAACTTAGACATCTTACATTGCTAGCACACAAAGGGGCTGTAAGTGGTGTTGCCCTGGTCGAAAGCAGAATGAGGTCCACAGTTTCTGTCTTGGCCTCTTCCCCATCTTCCCCTTTACTAAGGGATTCATCAACATGGTTTGAAATACAGCACTCCAAGAAAAAAAAAAAAAAAAAGGAGAGAGAGAAACACAGCACTCCTCCCTTCATTCCACTCCTCCCTTCATTCCATTTGAGGAAAGTGGACCCAGTCTTGTCACATGCCTTGCCCATAGTTAAAGAATAAGTTATGGCTGAACTGGGAGTCCAGTCCAAGTTTCCTGATTTGATTGCCGGGACGCTTCAAGACCGTAGTTGCCCAGAGCTGTAGAATCACAGGGTCTGAGCATTAGGACTAATCATAAAGTTACTTGTTCTGTCATTCCTCTTCCTTTAACTATGCTGCAGCCACCTGCTCTTCTTCAGTGGCAGTGGAAGCGTGCTTATTTTGGGACCAGATCTTGACATAAAAGAGAAGGGAACTGTTGCTGTTAAAAGATTTCTGATGTGGGATCCATGACTTGGATGATCAATAAAAATCATACTATCACTTCATGGTCTTGTGAAAGTCATGATTTAAAGTAATTGTGTTATTTTATTGTATGTGTCAGTGTGGATATTAAAATGGGCTCCATCTGCTAATTTGCATTTGTTGATTTGAATTTTTTTTTAAATAAAGAGTAGACTTTTAAAAAAAATTTTTGTGCTCTCTTCAAAATTTTATTTAAATTCTAGTTAGTTAACATAGATTTAGCATAGACTTTTTAAAATCCACAGTCAGTTACCTATAATTGTGGCATTACACAAAGTAAAATTTACACTCTTCAGCTTGGAAATGCATTCAAAAGGGAGTGTTTTTTATTGTACTTATAATTGCTATTTCTTATCATATAGAACATACCTTTTAGAAAGTACATGGTATCACTAGTTATCACAACTGTTTTCTTTTTTAAAACTTCTAAAAACCCAGTGAAGAAGCGGAGGAATTGGCACAGGCACGACTACACAGAAATTGATGATGGCACCAAACCAGTGCAAGCTGGGACTAGGACTTTTGTGAAGGAGCTACGTTCTCGAGTCTTCCCAAGGTATGGAAACTTGTTCTTGCCAAAGAAAACTTGAGACTGTTATCTCACGCAGTGGCATTATCTAAAGCAATGTTTTCAGACTTCAGGTTGCAACCCATTCTCAGCGTTTTACTTTTTTTTTTTATGAAATAGAAAATATTGGCGCATTTATATAAGTAATGAGTAAATTAGCAAGGTTTCGTGGAACCATCGTGTTACTTATGTGTACTAGGGCACCTTGTACAAATACATGAACTGCTGATCTCTGTCCAGAAAATTTGAAATGCACTGATCTAAGGCACTTGTTCCCGGTACCAGATTCCTCATGATGGGAAGTTGCTGCTTCTCCTCCCTTTCTACCTCACCTGTTCTGATTGTCAGACTCTGTGTTTTTCTTGTGTTGTTTTCTTATCTCTTTACCCTAGGTCTGTCAGGGGTACCCATAACCATTGCTCAGCCTCTCTGGTGGCAGCAGGACTGGGCTTTTTGATTTTTAAAAGATAATGGAAAGTGTTTGACTTATCTGTGGCTCAGAGAGCGTCAAAAGTATTGCACAGCATTTAATCATGCTAATTTAGATCATTTCCCGCTCGCTGCCTGACATCTATTTAAAGTGATCATGCTTAATAGCCTTTCACATGAGATCATATCCAGGCTTGTTAAGGAGGGAAAGCACAATTTAAATTTAAATCTCAACATCACGTGCAACCTGTTACAGAATTATTTCAGGTCCTGTAACTGTAAAACCCGTGCTATTTCTTCACAGTCTTTAACATTCTTGTCTATCCCTCTCCCTCTTTTAATCCTTAAACAGGAACGTGTAATTGATACGCATCCAGTGTTGGCTCCCTCAGGTCTGCTGAGCTCTCCACAGTGGTTTCCACATGACTTTTGTGATAGTGAAGGCCTTCGTCTCAAATACTCTCTCTTACCAGTTTCAAAGTGGTTGGACGAATGTTTGTTTTCCTTGATTGGTTTGGAGCTAGGGCCAGAATTTTCAGCCTGGGTCTATGAACAGGCTTCCAAGAGGCTCGTGAGTTTCTTGAAGCTGTGTAAATAGTTTAGTGTCAATATATGAATGTGCATTTTTCAGGAAGAGGAGCCAAAGCTTTTACTCTTCTCAAATAGGCTTGTGACCCAAAAGAACAGTGTTAAAAATCCTGACCTAGTGATGCCTGTGGCTTCTGTGCCAAAGTGGTAACAAGTAAGAGCCAGTTACAGAGATGGTTACAAATGTCTAAATGATGATTACCATTAATTACAGATTTTTGGTTTTATTTTAACTCCATAAACCTTCACATCATTCAAAACCATATATAGAGATGGTAATTAATTAAATTACACATACTTGATGTGATTAACCCAGAAGTGTATAAAATAAAGTGTATGGGTTATCTTACCTCCCTCTCCCCCATTTTAAAACTTAGTGTGGACCTTTTGAGACATTTTCCTACATGAATAATTACATGTAAAATATTTATGTCTATATATGTGTGTATATATACATGCATCCAATTTTTAAAAAATAAAATGGGGTTATATTATGCATATGATATACCTATTTCATCGGTGTTTTTCCCCCATTTACAAAACTTTACTTCCCTCCTTGACTGCGGTGTAGTACGCAGTCAGGTATACTCACCGTAATCCACTTAACCATCCCTCCCTAATGTATGTTTCGGTTGTCTCCAGTTTTTTTCCCTTGAAAATAACGGTGTGCATGTATTTTTAAACACTTGTACTTACATGTTTTTGATCGACAGGGGAAGTAAAACACCAAACACTGAAGATCAGAAAGTACAAGTGACTGGAAATTATCCCTCAGATTGGAGTGGAAGGAATTGTTTGATTCTCAGAGGTTGGAGAAGGAGGGAAATGTTAGATGCTTGTGGGGGGTACTAAAAGGCAGCACAGAATGCAGTGAGTCAGATGAAGGAGATCTAAGTCCTTCAAATATAAGTCTATCCAGAAAAAGTCTGTCTCATTTTAGGGAGCTTCAGACTGCCCTTTTCTTACTGAGAGGGTGGACAGATTAAAACCCAGTAATTCAGAGAACCCGTACTTCTTGTCTTTTCCTTGATTCCCAGGCTGCAGGTGATGTGAATACAGGTAAGGTAAATGGAAACAACTGTGTTTTAGCCTGTAAAGCAGCTGTTGTACTTATTTGAATGTATTAACAGCTGCATTCTGGGGGCAATTGGAAGATTAAGTCTAGAACATCCTCATTTAAAGAGATCTTTGATTTATGGCTAGAGAACACTGGAAAGGGACAAACCACTCTTAAGTGTGATGCTCATGACGTGTATGAGTGGGCAGCTGGGGTTCAGCATGCTTTTTAGTGGCTTGAGGTGACCACTTACTGTAACTTATGACATACTGGTTGTAACAGATATATCAGGAGTTCCTTTTCGACCTTTATCTTGGTGGACGGGAACCATGGGAGCTAGTCATTCTCCATGGTGCAGGACAACAGTGAATTGTTCTATGTCCATGAGCCTTTGAAATGTCTAACAAATACTTGTGTAGAATTTTACAGCTGGATAGAATCTTATCTGTTTTACTTATCGTGACACCACCTTTTTTCCTAATGTGCCCCCTTACCTTTCGCTCTGCTGATTTCCTACACAGCTTGTTTTTAGTGGCTTCTGATCTAGTTACTTCTCTTAAATTCAGTCACTCATTACAACAAGTTGTAATCATCCTATTATTATATTATCTCTCCTTGTGTAGTTTACTGAAACATTTATGTATTGAATATGTATTTTGCTATAAACTAATTTTAGGTATTCATATTTTTCCAATGATAGGTATTGAGGTAATTATCTATGACTTTTACTTTAGAATAGTAAAAAGGACTTGATAAAACATTTGTTCTAAAAAGGAGAATTGGGTTTGATCGGTTGATAACTGCTGATATAGACAGTGATGCAGTATATGAGTTAACTCATTACCAGACTATTTTTTTAAAATGAACTTACCAACAAAGATGACTGTTTACCCTTATGTTTTCCTTAGTGCCGATGAAGTCATTGTAAAGATGCATGGCAGCCAGCTGACACAAAGATACCTGGAGAAACACGGATTTGAAGTTCCTATTATGGTCCCCAAATTAGATGACCTAGGACTCAGGCTCCCTCCACCTACTTTTTCTGTCATGGATGTGGAACGCTATGTAGGTACGCACTTGGTTCCTTGAAGTACTTGGGGGAAATGCGGTAAAAGTAGTAGTAGTGTTCTGAGTACATTAGAAGTTGAGTGAAGAGATGGTAATTTAGTAGGAAAAGTGAAATTCAGTATCACCTAGGTTGAAAACTTTCTTCTGAGCAAACCTCCAGTTGTCAGAGAAAGAGAATGAGACAGTTGCTCTATTCTTATGTACTCAGCCTCATTCTGCTGCTCTTTCTGTTGTCATCAGATTGTCTGGTACCTGCTTAGGAGGAACAGTTGTGAGGTGTAACTACAGCTAACAGGAGGAAGACACTGGGAAATTGGACTGGTTCTAGGACTCTGTAGCATGCAAGAGCAGAATCCCTGGATCCTGTGTCATTGACCTCCAGGGCCTAGAGAAGGGCTGGGAAAAAGAGGAGACCACGTTCAAGCCCGTTTCTATATTTGTGACATGATGGTATTGCCACTGCCTGGTGTCTGGACTCGGTGTGTGATTTTGAGGCCCAGAGAGGCATAAGAAACAAGGAGAAAACCATTTCTCCGTTGCATTCTTCTCAACATTGTCAGTCATTTTGTTTATTCTCATCTTGGTATCAGTAGATAAATCTGACTGTATGTAGATCTCATTCCTTCTCAGTTGTGGATAGAGATGTTTTTGAGGATTAGATCTCAAATCGACCTTGACTCTGAACTGTACATTTACTGTGATGCATTATCTCCCGGGTAGAAAATGCTGGAGAACTTGTCCCTTTATTGAGCCACTGAGTGACAGTTTTCATTGATAAATGCTTCACTGAAGAAACGCTTTAATGTCATGACTTCGCATTCACTAATTCTGGATTATTTGATAAAGTAGGAGATGAGGCTGAGGTTTAACCTGGCCTGTTTGCATAAATAGCACTGTAAAATAAGTGGCTAGTGTAATGTAAGTATAGGAAAAATATTCAAACTCCTAGATAGTTTACTTTTTAGCATTGTAAAATGCTTTGGTTAACAGAACTGTTTTGCCTCTTAGGTATAAAATAAAGTTTACTAGGCAGCGCGTTAATATAAAGTTACACTAAAGTGAGAAAATGGCATTTATTTGATTTCTCTTTCAGATTGATTAAGTATTGCCATATTTTGAATTTACCATCTGTCCTGTAGGACATTACAAAACTGGGTTTGCTTTCTAGGGTGACTGTACAGTGATGGGCAAGAGACACCTCATGGTTTTATAGGAAAAATCTAAATTAATCCCAATTGAGAACTCATTTCACATGCATTAATATGAACTGATTTTTGCTTCCTAACCTCCGATTTTTTTCTTGAAGCAGAATGTTGGAAGAGAAGACATTACCTGGCAAGCAGAAATTATCATAGTTACATTGTTCACTAATTCCATAGCGACTGACTGGTTTTTCTAAATGATGGAATCTTAGGTGTTAGAGGAGTGGAAGGACGAAGACAGTCCCCTCATCTTATGCATGGGGACATTGAAAATGCAGAGCAAGTGGCCCAGTTCCCACATAACTAGTATAATGCATTTTTGTCAGTGTGAGCTGCACACAGAAATCAGTAGTATGTAGAAAACTTTTAAGCATTTAAGTTTTCACACTCATTGTTAAATTAGTAACTCTGTCTTTATTGCTTTATTCTTTCCCTCAAAAGCAGCCCCCCTTTTTAAAAGTACCAGTTGGACTTAAAAAGTAAGGATACTGGCAGAATCTTTGTCTAGGCTATGTAGTTTTCTGGTTGGCTTTAAGTAAATACAGTCTTTAAAATATTTTTGTTTAGGGCATCTATTGCTGTAACTCTTAAGCCCAATAACAAGACTATAATTTTTCTCTGCAGGTGGTGACAAAGTGATAGATGTCATTGATGTGGCAAGGCAGGCAGACAGCAAAATGACCCTTCACAATTATGTTAAATACTTCATGAATCCTAACAGACCAAAAGTGTTAAATGTGATCAGCCTTGAATTTTCAGATACAAAGTGAGTAGTTCTGGACATTTTGGTTTAGTCTTCTCAGTGTTAGCTAAATGTAGTTAATGATACATTTATTTCAGTACAAAATCTAATTATGACTTCTGAAGAGGTCCAGTCATAGCAATGTACATTTTGCTTTGACACGCACAGAGAATATTTAGAAATATGAATTTTGATCTTTTACGTATTGTTAACCTAGAGTTCCATTTAATTTCTTGGTTTGGGTTGAGATGGGAAATGATAAGAACTTTAAATTTGCGTGATGTGGGGATGTGTGTATATGTGCATTTGTTTTTTTTAAAGGATGTCTGAATTGGTGGAGGTCCCTGAGATAGCCAGAAAACTTTCCTGGGTGGAAAATTACTGGCCAGATGATTCCGTTTTCCCCAAGCCGTTTGTTCAGAAGTACTGCTTAATGGGAGTTCAGGACAGCTACACGGATTTCCACATTGACTTCGGTGGAACTTCGGTCTGGTACCATGTCCTCTGGGTAAGACTGGGGTGTTTCTCTCTCCTCTTACTGATAGAAACATTTAGTCCTGTTTTTCCAGGCATACATTCATTGGCTGTAAATGACATTTATTACGAGGGGAGTTTTTGTACGTTTTAGGTAGGCTCCAGCGTTTTGCCTTTAAGCATTATGGTTTTTCTTTTTTTTTTAGTCTCAAGTAACGGAGGGGCCACCATGCTTTTATTTTATGTTTACATTCCTTTTTTTGGTCCCTGTCTCAAAAATTGGTCACTTGCAGCCTTTCGTCTCTGTTTCCTTTTCACCCTAGTCAGCTATCAGTTAATCCCGGAATCAAATACCTGATTACAGCATAATTACAGTAATACTTGTTTCTGATTTTAAGGGTAGGCCAGGACAGCTAGTTGAATGAGTCAGAAATGCCCATGAAAAAAAAACCTAATTCTTTTGGCAGTTTATATTCACCTTGCTTTATCTAGAATTGGACTATGCAGTAGCCACTGGCCACATATAGCTACATTTAAATAATTATAATTAAATATAATTTAAAATTCAGTTCCTTCTCTACACTGGTGACATTTCAAGTGCTCAGTAGCCACCTGTGGCTTACGACTAGTGTGTGGCGCAGATAGAAGACACTTCCATCATCACACCAAGTTGTGTGGGACAGTGCTGATCTAGAACCAGATCTGTGTACAGCGCCCATGCTTCTGCAGCGCTCTGGACCGTACTCGACGCTGTGTCCTTGAGCTCCTGTTCCTCTTCTCTGTGAGAAGGCAGGGGCTAGTTGATTAAAGGAAGTTTATTTACTGGTCTTCGAAAAAAATAATCATAGGTCTTAGGGGCAAGGGCAAAGTTGCAGAGATGACTCTGTGACCTGGGCCTATTAACATGTGTTTACTTCCATACCTTAAAAATGAGATCAGTAAGGTGTTTATGATTGTTTCCTCTCTTCTCTTGTAACTGTTTCTCCAACCCTGCTTTATTGACCCCGGGTCGTGTTTTGGAGGGGGGCTTTAGCTTTTGTGAAGATGCTTATTAAGGGCAGTAATTACTTATCAGATTTGTGAAAGATGTCCTCTTGAGCCTTAAAAAATCTGATAATTATCTAATTTGATTTAGATCATTATATTGGGAAATCGCATCCATGTGGGCCATCTTAAGAGTGTTGTTTTTTGGTTTTTTGTGTTTTTTTTTTTTTTCCCAAAATAATGTGATTACTTCCTTCTAGGGTGAGAAGATTTTCTATTTGATAAAGCCAACAGATGAAAACTTGGCACTCTATGAGTCTTGGAGTTCATCTGTGACCCAGAGTGAGGTGTTCTTTGGAGATAAGGTGGATAAATGCTACAAATGTGTGGTAAAGCAGGGACATACTTTATTTGTTCCTACAGGTAAGGCTTTCATCCCATCCCTTCCCCCCATAGTTGATGCTCAGTTGCACAGAGTCGGCATTTTATTGGAAGCTCTGGCTTTAACATGGTTAGAAAATAGCTTTTCGTAACCTGAGAGATAATTCTGACCTTGGACTTTTCACTGCTTTGTCCCTTAGAGGGCTTTTCTTGCAATTAGAACCTGTTTTGGAATTGTGTTTTCTGTCATTTGCCTTCATTTTAATTTTTATTCAGATAAAATTCATATACTGGGACACCTGGGTGGCTCAGTCGGTTAAGCCGCTGCCTTCAGCTCAGGTCATGATCCCACAGTCCTGGGATCGAGTCCCGCATCAGGCTCCTTGCTCAGGGGGAGCCTGCTTCTCTCTCTGCCTCTGCCTGCCACTTTACCTGCTTGTGCGTGCTCTCTCTCTCTCTTTCTCTGATACATATAAATAAATACATAAATATAAATAAATAATCTTTTAAAAAATTCATATACCATAATATTTATCCTTTCAAAGTGTGCATGTCAGTGGTTTTTGGTAGATTACCAAAGTTGTGCACCCATACCACTTCCAGAACATTTCGTCACCTCAAAAACAAACCCATACCAGTTAATAGGCGTTCTTCTCCCCTGAGCCCCTGGCAACCACTTCATGTACTTTCTGTCTCTGTGGATTTGCCTATTCTGGATATTTCGTGTATAACATATGGAATACATGGCCTTTTATATCTGGCTTCTTTTAGCTGGCTTAATGTGCACTGGACTCCTCCATGTTGTATCACGTGTCAGTTCTTCGTTATTTTTTATGGCCAAATGATATTCCACTATTATGGATAGACCTCATTTTGTTTATCCATTCGTCAGTTGATAGACATTGGCTATTATGAACAGTGATGCTTTGAATATTTCTTTAGAAGTTTTTGTGGTTTTATATATATACACCTAGTAATGAAATGGTGGGGCCATAGCATTTATGATGCTTAGCTTTTTGAGGAACTGCTAAACTCTTCCATATGGTTTCACCACTTTACAGTCCCACCAGCAATGTACACATGTTCCAGTTTCTCTGCATCTTTATCAACACTGTAATTATCTTTTTCACTTTGACCGTTCTAGTAGATGTGAAGTGAAGGTATCCTACTGTGGTTTTGATTTGCGTTTCCTTAATGAATGATGATGCTGAACTTTTTTTCTTGTGCTTCTAGGCTATTTGTGTATCTATCTTTGGAGAAATGTCTATTCAAATTCTTCGTCCGTTTTTAAGTTGGGTTATTTGTCTTTTTATTGTTGAGTTGTAAGTGTTCTTGATATATTCCGTATACCAGATACATGATCTAGATATATTCAGATGTATGACCTACCAGTAACTCTCCTATTCTGGGGCTTATCTTTGCACTTTGTTTATATGTTCTTTATAATGTTCTTTGCACAAAATTTTAAAATTTTGTTGACATGCTTTCAGTTTTAACTGTTCGGCTCTACATTGCTATCAAAGACCGAGCCTGCTCTAAGAATCTGGGCTGCTGCCCTGGGACACTGGAGGCAGTGGGTATATTTTGAGGGACCCTGGTAAGGAACTGAACACCAGCCTTAGCTATCGCCTCAAGTATAGGTTATCAGGCATGTCACTTTGAGATTGACTGAATGCAGGGTGTGGACTCATCCAGCCACTGGTTTTGAAAATTAATGTTTTTGCTGATTTGGGTGACCTTAATGGCTGCAGAGTTCACGGGGATTTGTTGCCACAGGTCTTGCTCTCTTGCCTGCCTCTGGTGTATGTAATAATAAATATGTATTGAATAAATGAATGAATGAATGTCTAGAACCACCAGAATTTATAAATCTAGATAAGTATCAATATTTTTATTGTGCGTGGGCTCAGCTCCTCTCTTAAATCCTTTTCCCAGGGCTCCCTTTTGTAACAAGTCTTTTGTTAATGCTCCCTTCAAAATCTTGGATTCAAATTCATTCATGATATAACTTCCTATACCAGTTGTTTCCCCCCAAATTGATGTAATGATCTAACTAGAACAGAAAGAAGAAACTCGAAAGCAATTCATAATAAAATACTATTTTAAAATGTGCCTGCTCATACAGGTGTATGATTGGCAACTCAAGTTCTAGAGCATTCATGTAGATTAATGGTTCTCAAATGTCATTGAGCATTAGAATCACCTGGAGGACTTATTAAAACATGGATTGCTGGGCCTTATCCCCATGGTTCTGATTCAGTAGATCTGAGAGGCTTGGGGGGGTGGTGCTGGGAATTGCATTTCTAAAGGTTGCAAGTTGCTGGCTGATGCTGCCGGGCTGGAGAGCCCATCTAGAAAACCACTGCCATAGGGACTGTTGCTTTTTCAGAAAATTGGGCCAAAACTGTGCAAAAAATACTTTGCTGGGCGCCTGGGTGGCTCAGTGGGTTAAGCCGCTGCCTTCGGCTCAGGTCATGATCTCAGGGTCCTGGGATCGAGTCCCGCATCGGGCTCTCTGCTCATCAGGGAGCCTGCTTCCCTTCCTCTCTCTCTGCCTGCCTCTCTGTCTGCTTGTGATCTCTGTCTGTCAAATAAATAAATAAAAAATCTTTAAAAAAAAATACTTTGCTTACATATATGATGGACTTACAGTTTCTAGACTTAGACCATTAATGACAGATTTTGTGCCTGTGTGAATGCCCAGCAGAGAGCCGTGAGTAATGCATGACTTTCTTACTCTGTGGAGTGGCCTGCTTGTTGCGTCCCTGGCTCTCGCTCAGGCAATGCCACTAATGCCTCTTCATCATGAACAATCAAAGCAAGTCCTTCAGACTTTTCAAAATATCCTATACAGGCAGCGCTGCCTCTGTGCTGTAGAGAACCACTGATCTATAGGATTTGTAGCTGACAAAAATTTTTCATTTGTGATTTCAGGGTGAAGCTGAAGGCTTTGTGCCTTTAAGCATACAAATGGCACCCCTTAAAAGTCAGACTTTAAAGGAATTTTTTTCATGTGTGCCGCAGCACAATGAGGGATCAAAAAGTGAAAAATATAAAGAAAATGGGGTCTATTTTAATAATTAATTTTTACACACAAACATATGTGTGTATTTATATATACATTTACATGAAGGCTTTATGTTCAGCCTATGGATTTTTTTTTTTTTCCAAAAGTTAGGCATCACCTCTTAGAAATAATTCACACTTTGAAGACATATTTATGGGAAAATAAGACATCATTTTAATTGCCACCGTTTGTACCTTAGGACCCATAACCCTCCACGGTGAACTGTGGATGATCTCCCTTTTTCTTCTTAGCGCCAGGTCTCCCCTCGAGTCCCGCTCTTGCTCCTTGCTTAGTCCCTCAGGGCACTGCTTGCCTCAGGACGGCGCTAATGAAGAAGGGAAGGGCTCGGCCAGTCCCGTGTCCCTGTAATGGCAATGTGCTCACCTCATTCTTACCGCATTTGACTCCTGTCAGAGTAACATCTTCAACGAGAAGTTGGATTACGTTTGTAAGCTAAAAAAATAAAACAGCAACAACCACAAAACCCATCACCTGTCCTGTACCATGATTTTGTCTGATTGGATCAAAGCGTTTGTTTCCTCAAACTCAGCAGAGTCTGGCATGTGTTTGGTTCTTCGTAAATACTTAAATGAATGTGTCTACAGATGATAATCAGCATCAGCTTCTCGAGCTCTGGCGGAGTAGGAAGGAAACTGATGTCGATATTTTGAGTTTCTCATTTCACAGGTAGATATCACATTTGTTTGGTTTAAATATTGAAAACTCACTGATGCGCATTTTAACTGTTCCAGGGTGGATTCATGCTGTGCTCACATCTCAGGACTGTATGGCTTTTGGGGGGAACTTTCTGCACAACCTTAACATTGGCATGCAGCTCAGGTTTGTGTCATCAGTATTTAAAGGATCTTTTGTCTTTTCTTAAATAAGATATTATTTTTAAAGTTCTAGAAAAACTAATTCAGCAATGTATTTTAATTGCATTCTCATGGAGGTAGGCCCTGAGGAATTATGAAGGACCTTTAAAACAAATGTATTAAAAACTTTGTCAGGATGACTCCTTGATGCATTTCAACCCTAAAAACAGAAAGAGTCATTTATTCAGTTTGATACGAAATGTAACCCTGAATTTCAAAATTTTACAAAATGTGGGCTCTATGGTTTGCTTGTTTTTATAGTTAGGGGAATGAACCAAATCCAGTTGGACTCAGGTGTGACATGGTGCTGGGGGAAAGTCATCCTAAGTCAGGACTGCTGTCAGAACGCCTGCTTTAGTTTGCTGTGGGTAAAGGATTAACAGCTGTTTCCCCTTCTGTCTGAGATTGACCTTTGGGTAACTCTGTTCCTCTGGTGGTCTGAAGAGAGTAGAATGTTACCAAGCTACATGGCTTAAGGTAAAATGATTTCTGATTAATTAACTGCATCAGGACCGGGAGAACTAGAGATGCCCAGTCAGAAGCCATGTCTTTGGGCTTTCCTGAATGTGGTGACTCTTGTAACCTGGCGTGCCCAGGGGGAATGCTGGGAGCTCTGTGTCTGTGGAGGTATTGTGAGAAATAGCGCCATGAAGCTTGAAGCGGGGGCACCTCCCACACCCATCAGATGTGAATCTTGTTTCTCTACCTGGAGTGTCCCTGGGGAAAAGATGGCTACTGGCTATGGGGACTGCTGCCAGGACTCCCACAGAAGAATGACACTGGCAGGCTGTGGATCCTGTCTTCTCCCCATGACCATCGCCGGGTGTAGCAGAGCCTAAAGAAAACTCCGAGTGGGTGTTGTGGTGCTAACATAGGGAGCTGTTTTCTACACATGCTGTTTTATTTGTTACGGTGGAACCCTTATAACATTCCTTTTGCTAAAACTACGATGCAAATCCCAGGGTTCTGATCTTTGGAAAGACACCAGTATAAATCTTCAGTATACTGTCCGATTTGTTAAGGTCCGAGCTGGAAAAGATCACAGTTCATTCTTGTTTAAGTGTGGTGGTGTTAGGTGATACACACTACTTGATTGGCCTTACATATTGTGGCCTGCTTGTTTTATTTTCCTTAAGTTGGTTGCCTCCATTTAACCTGGAAATGCTAATATTAATAAGTTTCTTCAAATTTTCTTTAGGTGTTATGAGATGGAAAAAAGGCTAAAAACACCAGATCTTTTCAAATTCCCTTTCTTTGAAGCCATATGTTGGTTTGTAGCCAAAAATTTGCTGGAAACCTTGAAAGGTAATTCATAATCTGTACATTATGATGCATGATGTTTGTAAATTCATGAAAAGCCACTGATAGAGGGGTCTTTTTTTTATTATCGTGTAGCTATTGCCCCTGTTTTGTTTTTTAAAATGCATGATTTCCCCCGCCAAGAAACTTTTTAGTGCATTAGTCTCTAGCCCATCAGATCTATGAAGAGCTGCATCAGAGCGACACAGGAAGTGCTGGAAAATGTTTGTTTCCCCTTGGACTCTAGAACCCTGCGCACAGTGTCAGACATGGAAACGTGCCTCCCTCACAAAAGTACAGTTTAGGCTATGGGACTGTTACTGTCATGTGTGTTCCTAAACATTTGCTTTTAAAAATCGAGGGGATTTTTCATGTTCTGAGAGAACCAGGGAGTGCCTGAGCCATTACTGTTAGGACTGTGATGCTGGCTGGTCCAAGGCACCTGTTAGTGCAAACCAGCTGAAGGTCAGACTATGAGTCTGTTGAAGAAAATGGTTTTGGGCAGGGGACATTCCTTTTTTTTTTTTTTTTTTTTTAATTTTTAAAAGATTTTATTTATTTGAGAAGGAGAGAGAACACAAGCAGGTAGGAGGGGTAGAAGGAGAGGGAGAAGCAAGCTCCCCGCTGAGCAGGAAGCCCAATGTGGGACTCAATCCCAGGACCCTCAGATCATGACCTGAGCCAAGGGCAGACGCTTAACTGACTGAGCCACCCAGGTGCCCAGGACATTCTTTTATTTAAACTTAGCTACCTTTTTTCCTGCAGAATTTCAGATTTTGGTGTTTTATCTTTGGTTTAATAATCGTAGAGCAGTCAAGCTGGAGGCTGATTGTCACATCTACTTCTGACCATTCTTTCCCTTGTGCCTATGAGAATAGAGTTCATCGGGTTTTTGTGTTGTCTGACTTTTCTTGTCAGTTTGCAGATAGTGCTATTATTATAATAAATTCTCAGAAGAACAGATAGAAACAGATTAAATAGTAAAGTCTCTTCTAAACATACGGGTTCCCCCCCCCCATTTAAAAGTTACACAGGAAGAAAAGGTAAAATGAGAAGAATCAGTAACTTACTTCCCAGGGTAACATGCACAGAATTAATGATAAAAGTCATTTATGATTTTTTCCTCAAACAGCAAAAACAGAAAACAACCTCACTGTCCTTGGAAAAAACAGTAGGGCCCATCCCACACCTTGGGTCAGTATAGATAGAGATCAGTGTCTTGACGTGGTGCAGAGAGAGAGAGAGAGAGAGATGGTAGAGGAAGGAGCCTGTGGATGAAGGGGATTGGCTGCTTTCTGCACAAGACCAGTCTCTCTCCAGAAATGCACCCTTACCCTGAGTCCCTGACTCATTCAGTGTTTTTGGGTATTGGCAAGGCTGAGGCACCTGCGTTCAGTGAGCGTGTCTTGGTGTCTTGGCTGCAGGAATCTCACAGGGGACCGCACGTAGAGTTGCCATGTGTAGTTTCCAGTGGGGTACTGGGCAGTAAAGTTTTCAGTCTCCTCTCCAAGTAGAAGCCTAGAAAAATAGGAACACTTACAAATACTTACAAAAACATTTATAAATGTCCTTGTGTTTTGGAAATAAAACCCGGTTACCGAACTCTCCAGATAGGAGATTGGCAGTTAGTACTCATTTCAGAGCTGGGGCTCCTGGCTGGCTCAGTCGTTAAGCGTCTGCTGTGGGCTCAGATCATGATCCCAGAGTTCCTGGGATCGAGCCCCACATTGGGCTTCCTGCTCAGCAGGGAGCCTGCTTCTCTGTCTCCTACTCCCCCTGCTAGTGTTCCCTCTCTCGTTGTGTTTCTCTTTGTCAAATGAATAAAATCTTTAAAAAAAAAAAAAAGGAAGTGAAGAGCCTTTTTCTGTCTTTCTCACTAACATACACCCACCCCTCAAGTGATGCTTTTTTCTAATGTCCAGGAGGGGTTCATCAATTACCTTTTTAGGACAAATTAAGAATTTATCTGAAAGGTAAAATCTGGCTGTTCCTCTTGCAGCCACAAACAGCAAAGTGCTTAATCTTAGAACAATGATTTAGCCTTTGTTCTAGGCTATTGAGAGTTTAGAAATACTGAGGTTTAATTGAAAACGTGACCCTATACATCAACAGCTGAAGAAGATTACTGTAAAAGGATATTGGTAGGCCAGGTTTTAACATATTTTAGTTCGTCAGCTGGATCAATACAGGATAGGAGACCTGCAATACTAGCGAGTCAGTCCAGTCCCGCTAAGGCTGGGGCGAAATCACCATTGTACCAATTGCCATCATCCTAGGCATTCAGCCTGGAAGCAGGGATGGTGGTCTTATGCCACATTATGTTCATTCATCCCTGATCTTTTAACCTTCCATCGTGGCCAAGTATTTGCCAGCTCTCAGACTATTATAAGGCTTCTATGATTGGGTAAATGGAAAGAGATAGTATGAAAGTTAACTGCATTTAGGGTCAGTAATAATAAAACAGTGAACTAATTTTGGACGTATATAAGTAAATCAGCCATTGGACAGAAGTGAAACCTTTTGTTTTTGCTTTAGCTTACCTGAATGTTAGACCACATCTGATACATTTTGTGTGAGTTTCAGATGATTTTAAAGACCCAGAAAAGATGTATGTGTGTGGTGTGTTTACCTTTACATTCGTGAACTATGTCCTGCCTTGTAGCTGACAGTATAGACTGCACACAGCATACACACATACACGGTCCTAACAGTTTGAATATTAATTACAGGCTCACCTGGGTCGCCTGTACCACTGGCTCAGCCTTGCCAATGCCTTAGAAACATCCATTTTTTCCCATTGCACCCTCCTCCTTCCCTTCTAAAGAGAACCCCTATCCTGAGTTTTGTGGTAATCCTTTTCTTCAGTTTTATCACCTGTGTCACAGATGATGAAGTAGTTTAATAGTTTCCATTGTTAGAGTTCATGTGAGTAGGTCCATACTGACATTGTTCCACGACTTGTCTCTTGCTCAGACTGTCGGTGAGCTCCCTTTTACTTGGAGCCTTCAGTACAACCACATTTAATGTCATTTCTTTTCTTTTTCTTTCTTGCTTTTTATTTCACTGTTTTCCCCTCTGGGCATTTGGCAGTTACACAGTTTGACAGTTGGTGTCTCAGCAGCAGAAGCTAACTGTGTTACCTTGGGAGCCCTCTAACTCCTTTCCCCTCCCACTTCCATTCCCACAGAACTGAGAGAAGATGGTTTCCAGCCTCAAACTTACCTAGTACAGGGAGTGAAAGCACTGCATGCTGCTTTAAAGTTATGGATGAAGAAAGAAGTAAGTCGTTTTCTTTGGAGAAATAATTGTTAATTGTTTCTGTGGCAAGATTGAAAACGAGCGTCCTTATGCTGCTTTGACAGCACGTGAGTGGTAGCGGACGAGGGAATGGAAATCATGCTTTTGGTACAGCCTCCATTTTATTGTATGGTATATACAAATGTGCTGGCTTAGGTTCATATTTATGAGAATTAAGTATTTCTTTAATCTGGAAAAGAAAGTAATTCAAATATATTTAGGATATTGACTGGGAAATGAACATGTAAATATAGGATAATAAATAACTTTGAGCTTGCATCTGCTCTTGTTATCCCCATTTTATTATGGAGAAGCTGAGGTTCAAATAATTCTATGTAACTTGCCCAGAATCTTGTGGAGGACCTCAGACTAAAGCTCAGTCTCTGTGACTGCAAAGCCCATATGCCTTTCCATGCGCTAGACTTTTCATAAAAACGAAGGAAAAGGGAGGTCAAGGTTCAAGCAGGAGCTTTCATTTTCACTAAATGTGAAGTTAGCATTTGAATCCTACTACCTCCAAGAGGTCATCCCAGGTCCCCATTTGGAATCCGTGTGTCCTTCCCTTCTGCTTATGTAACACGTTTCTTATGCCAGTGGATTTAAAAGTAGTATCTGTAAAGTAATATATTCCTGTCCCCTTCACTAGGTTTATGAGCTCTTGAAGACCAGGGAACTTTACATGCAACTCTTTAATAAGTGATAGATATGCAAACTGATGAGAATATATTTCCATACTAATTTGTTGAACATCCACTTGAAATAAAAATCCTGCTCTTAAGAGATACTGGAGACCGTTATTAATAGGTTACCCTCCCAGTAACTTTTTACTCCTTTCACTGTATTATCATTGCTAGTAGTAGCCATTAGAGCGGGGCACTGTGGAAGCAATCAGGAAAATAAACATCAAGTCTTTGAGTGTCAGAGAGGTCATCATGTAGATGAGTAAAGGCATAAGTAGATTACAGAACTATTTAACAAGATAATTAAACTATTTAACAAGATAACAAGATAATATAATATATGTTGCAAAAACTGTAAAATTTGTTATCTGCTGAAGGCTTTAGATAAGTTGTTTTCAAACTTGTGTGTTTGTCAGAGTCTTAAAAAATAAACTCCCTGGATCTTCCCTGGGAGACACTGATTGACTAGTTTGGTGGTAGGATCTGAGCCTCTGTCTTTAACAAACTTTGTAGGTGATTTTGATGCACAGTAAAATTCATCAGTGATAAATACTATTAATTCATGACATTTGAAGTGCTCTTTTAAAAGCATGATATTTGCATTTAACTCCCTGTTCACCTTGTGGCCTGGTGAGAGGCAGCTCAGCGTAGTGCTCAAGGGCATGGGCTCTGGAGTCAGATGTTTGGATTCAGATCTCAGCTGTGCTGCCAGTAAGCTAGCAAACCTCTGTGCTTTCAGGCCTGTGAAATTTACAATTTCATAATTGTAAAATGAGACTAATAGTAGTATCTCTGTCACATTGTTGTTGAAAGGCTTAGTGAATTAACGCTCAGAAAGTGCTTAACAGTATAGAATCTTGACTGGCACATAGTTAGCACTTATGTTGTTACTAGTTTGTTTTAACAAATTCTGCTAAAACCAAGGAGAAGATGTAAAGCGAAAGTAAAAACTAGCATATTGAATGAATCTAAAAAATTAAAATGTTCTTAGATACAAAGGTTAATATTTAGAAATAGACATAAGAAATAATGACAGTAGTTTGCATTTGGATAGGTATGGTAACTCACCCATTCCTCTGTCCTATTGATGGGATCTTCTTCCTAGTAAAAGAAAAAAAGTTTACAAAAGTTATTAAAAATTAGACCTCCCATAGGAAATAGGATCATTTTTTAGTGCCTGTGTTCCCACTTGTAAATCCTTATGTATTATGAATTAAATGTTGGGCTTAATTAGTTACTTTACTAATTATAATAGTAGTTAAGAGTTCCAGTAGGCTTTGAGGGATAGAGTACAATGTTACATCTCAGTATAACGCAAAATTCACTATGAGACAGTCCATCTCTAAGAGGATTTTATAAGTTAATAAGAATCTCCTTAAAGAGTATTATACCAACTACATGAACTCTGATACCTGGCTTACTAGTATTTTGCTATGTCTATAAAATCTAGAGAATTCAAAATTTGCTTAGTAAATAATTTTTATCTATTATAGTGTAAATAACTTTGGTTGTCTTATCTTTATTAATCCAAATACAGCTTGTATCTGAACATGCTTTTGAGATCCCAGACAATGTCAGACCTGGACATCTTATTAAAGAACTTTCGAAAGTAATTCGAGCAATAGAGGTAAGAGTAGAAACGATCATCTAAATGCTTGGTTACTGTCTGCTTTGAGAAGTAAATGGATCTCCCATTACATTACAAACACTCAAAAGCCCTTATACTCTTAGATGAAATAGAATGAGCTGCATTTTTGGAAGGAATCTGAGATTTTCAGGCTTCCAAAGTCCTACAGAGAAATCTAGAGGATTGTATCCTAATGAGGTTATAAGAAGGCAGTTACCGGTCACTTCAGTTTCTTCAGCTTCCTCCAAGAATAAGAAATCGAGCATACGCAAAATTTCAGATCCCATTCATTGCTGTTGGGCAGAGATGACATGTGTTAGGTAATTAGAGGAAGAGAGAAATATAAGGTGGGGTGAGTAGAGCCGGCTGGAACTGGTTTGGAAAGCGGGATTCTGTTAGTGGTGTGCGGCAAGGAGACCCCCTTGACTGAAGTATTAGAACAACTTGCTTATGTACATGCCCCTTGATAAAAGCCCATGAAATCTGAGGCTAGGTGTTATACTTTATTAATTGGGAACTATTCTGGGTATTAAAGGAGATTTCAATTAAAGGGATTCTTCAGGAAGGTGGTTCTGTTAGTATCTAGCTTGAACTGAAAGGAAAGTAAGTGCAGGAATGGAGGCTAACTGGTAATTTAACAGCTTAGATTAGGACTGTATTTGGGGAATGGAAAGAGGTAGACATCTAAGAAATAATGAACTGCTGCGTTTAGTATCCTTGGATAGAATATTTCATCTAATTTTCAGTGTGTTCAGATATGGCAGAAAAGTATTTTCTATTTTTAAAGAGTGGTAGTAATTGCATATAAATAGATTTTTAAATCAAAAGTCACATATGTAATCTTAAGTATATATGTAGATGTATAAATAAATATAAATCTCCTATGCTAACCAAAACTAAGAATAAACTCAGTAAGAAAGGTGTGGGTCTGTATGAAAAAAACTATAAATCTTTACTAAGGGAAGTGAAACAATAGTTGAATAAATGTCATTTCAAGAATACCTCAATTCTAAATTAACTTTACAAATTTAAATTGCTGAATTATACCTGCAAGAATAATTGGGCAAAAGTACCCAACAAAGTGTTTTTTTTGGTTTTTTTTTTTTTCTTTTTAAGATTTTATTTATTTATTTGATAGAGATCACAAGTAGGCAGAGAGGCAGGCAGAGAGAGAGAGGGAAACAGGCTCGCTGCTGAGCAGAGAGCCCGATGCGGGGCTTGATCCCAGGACCCTGAGATCATGACCTGAGCCGAAGGCAGAGGCTTAACCCACTGAGCCACCCAGGTGCCCCTCCAACAAAGTGTTTATTTTTTTTTTAAATTGGAGTGTTGAGAAGGCAGCAAAATGGCTGTAGAAAAATATGCAAAGAAACTAAAGAAGAAACAGAAATGCCAATCCGATAAAAATATGAAAGATGTGTGTCTGGCCTATGTGTCAAGTGCTGCTTGCCTCTGTAGTTTGGTTTTCCTTTTACCATTGTGCCACTTTATTTTCTTTTTCTCCCACCTTTTCTCCTCATGCAGATAAATTTCTTTGCTTCACTTCTCCCAAGACCCCTTCATCAAGCTATGTGAAAAAGTATTCAGTATGTGAAAAAGTATTCGGCTACATTTTGCCAAATAATTTATGATTTCATATGATCATTTATCTAACAGGCAGAGATAAAATTCTATATTCTTGTCCTGCTGTTTAGGAAGTATAAATTAGTTTGTGCTTTCTACATGGCATATCCCAAAATTGAGCATTTTCCCTTTCTTAAAATAAGAGCATTCTAATTAAACTTGGTAGATTAACCATACCTACTTACTGCTCTCACCTCTTGGTACTAAAATGATAGTAAAAGAATAAAAAAGATATTCCTTAGGGCACCTGCGTGGCTCAGTCAGTAAAACGTCTGCCTTTGGCTTAGATCATGGTCCCGGGGTCCTGGGATGGAGGCCCACATTAGTCTCCCTTCTCAACGGGGAGTCTGCTTCTCTCTTTCCCTCTGCCTGCCACTCCCCCTGCTTGCGCTTGCTCTCTCTCTGTATCAGGTATGTTTTTGTTTTGTTTGTTTTGTTTTAAAGAATTTTATTTCTTTATTTGAGAGAGAGAGAGAGAATGAGAGAGAGGGAGCATGAGAGGGGAGAGGTCAGAGGGAGAAGCAGACTTCTGCTGAGCAGGGAGCCCGATGCAGGACTTGTCCCCCGGGGTTCCAGGATCATGACCTGAGCCGAAGGGAGTTGCTTAGCCAGCTGAGCCACCCAGGCGCCCCTCTGTCTGTATCAAATAAATAAAATCTTTAAAAAAATAAGAATAAAAATGACATTCCTGAAGACAGAAAATAATAGAGATGAACTCCATACAGTTTTGGAAGCTGGAAAGCAAATATACAAGTGATCACTGATCTAGCACGCTAGAGGGAACCAAAATCTATGTGGGTAGAGGGAGAAGCCCAGAGACAGGTCTTACTTGTACAGGAGAACCTACAAAAAGCCAGGAATTAGGGATGCTAGGACCCTCTGAATATAAGAGTGGAGGTGGTATTGAGAACAATTTTGATTATAGGTCTGTTTAAGGAACGAGTTGATCTCCAAATCCCTATCTTAACACATGCTGAAAACTCTAGAGGTTTAGTTGTTTGAGAGGTTGAACTTGACACTGGACTTCAGGACACCGAACCCAGCTGAGGGACATGGGTACCATGCTGAAAACAAGAGGATTAAGTGGCATTCTGCATAGTGAGTGATTCTTTTTCCACTTGACTCTCCACACACTGGCACCCTGGCCTATACCTGTAAGGCCAAGAAGATCCAGTGATCGTGACCATTTGAAACCTTCTGATGGAGCAACCCAGGCGGCTTCCTACAGTGAAACCCACCAGTTGACAAAGCCCTACTCACACAGAGCTCCCAATTAGCTTTTCTCTTTTTACATGCAGTGAAATGCACAGATCATAAAAGTACAGTTTGAGTTTTGATGAAAACTCAGTAGACGCTTGTGTAACGAATACTGCCACTGAGACCTGTAAATCATTTTTGTCACCCCAGAAAGTCTTTTCTCCCCCTTCTAGGCAGTGTGACTACCGTAAGCTGCCACCGGTCAAACCTCTGTGGTTCTCGTTGCAGATTAGTTCGCCTGTTTTTGAATTTCAAATAAAGGCAGTCATGCAGCATATCCTAGTTTTGTGTCTGGCTTCTTTCAACATCATGCTTTTGAGATTCGTCTGTGTTGTTGCATCTGCCAGTAGTTCTTTTTTTTTGCTGCTGGTGGTATTCCATTGAATGACTATACCATAATTTGTTTTCCCTTCTCCTGTTGATGGATATTTGGGTCATATACAGATGTGGCCGCTATGGATAAAACTGTTATAAACAGGGCGCCTGGGTGGCTCTGTCGTTGAACATCTGCCTTCGGCTCAGGTCATGATCCCAGGGTCCTGGGATTGAGCCCCATGTCAGGCTCCTTGCTTGGCAGGAAGCCTGCTTCTGCCTCTCCCACTCTCCTTGCTTGTGTTCCTGCTCTCGCTGTTTCTCTGTCAAATAAATAAATAAAATCATTAAAAAAAAAAAACCTGCTATAAACAACCTTGTATTTTTTTTGTAGCAAATACATGTTTTCATTTGGGGGGATTAAGTACCTGGGAATAGAGTTATCAAGTTGTAAGTGAATTTCCGCTTTATAAGAATCTGCCAATTTGCCAAAATGGTTGCGCCACTGTCACCATTAAGGTGTAGGAATTGTCGTTGTTCTGTATTCTTGCTAGTGTTTAGTGTTTTCTGTCTCTTTAATCTTTGCTTTTCTAGAGAGTATGAAATGCTATTTCATATGCTGTTAATGTGCATTTTCCTGAAGATGAAAGATATTGAGCACCTTTTCTTGTGCCTTGGCTATTTGTATCTTTTCCTATGAGGTACCTGTTTGAAGTTTTTGCCCATTTAAGAAATTATGCTGTTTTTATTGATTTGTAGGAGTTCATTACGTATCTTAGACACAAGTTCTTTGTCATTTGGCATGTATGCATTCATATATGATGAACATTGTAAATATTTACCCATAGCCTGTGGCTTATCTTTCATTATCTTAGTGGTATCTTTTTCCGAGCAGAAAATTTTAATTTTGAGAAAGTCCAATTTAGAAATTTGTTTTCTTATTTATAGTTAGTATTTTTTAGTGTCCTCTCTAAGAAATATTTGCCCACCCCAAGGGTTGAAGATACTTTTTTTTTTTTTCTTCCTGGAAGCCTTTACATTTGGGTAAATAGCTAATCTTGAATTTTTGTGTGTAGCATAAGGTAAATTTAAGGCATTATTTTCCTCCCATATGTTTATCTAGTTCTCTTACCACCATTTCTTGAAACAGTTAGCTTTTTAATGCCTTATATTTTAAAATGCATAGAAAGCCAAGAAGAGTTTTGAAGATAGAGACCAAAAATAAAGAAGGGGGAAGAAAAGGATTTAAAGGAAATAAGTTCTTTAGCCCAAAACCCAAATATAATTGATATCCTTGAGAGAAAAGAGTATATAAATATTGCCTCCATGAAAAAAGAACAGGCGGCTGTAACAAAGGAACATTCATAGAAGAAAGAGAAGGGGTTCTTGGAAATTAGAAATATAATAGAAACAAAATATAGGGAAGCCTGGGTGGCTCAGTCAGTTAATCGACTGCCTTTGGCTCAAGTTGTGATCCTGGGGTCCAGGGATCGGGCCCCATGTCGGGATCCCTGCTCAGCGGGAAGCCTGCTTCTCCCTCTGCCTGTGCCCCTTTCCTCCCAGCTTGTGCTCTCTCTCTCTCTGACAGATAAATAAATACAATCTTAAAAAACAAAAAACCCTAGGGGTGCCTGGGTGGCTCAGTGGGTTAAGCCTCTGCCTTCAGCTCAGGTCATGATCTCGGGGTCCTGGGATCGAGCCCCACATCGGGCTCTCTGCTCAGCGGGGAGCCTGCTTCCCCCTTCTCTCTGCCTGCCTCTCTGCCTCCTTGTGATCTCTCTCTCTCTCTCTCTGTGTCAAATAAATAAAATCTTAAAAAAAAAAAAAAACTCCTTTCTCTCTTTTTCATTTTTTAGTAAAATCATTGGAAGATAAAGTTGGGAAAATCTCTCACAAAGTTAAAAAAAAAAGACTAAAATAGGACAGAAAAATTTGAAGGTCATTTTACATAATCACCATCAAATATTAGGAAGAACAGAAAGAGAACATAGTTTTTGTTGTTTTTGTTTTTTTTTTTAATTTGACAGAGATCACAAGTAGGCAGGCAGAGAGAGAGGAAGGGAAGCAGGCTCCCTGCTGAGCAGAGAGCCTGATGTGGGGCTCGATCCCAGGACCCTGGGATCATGACCTGAGCTGAAGGAAGAGGCTTTAACCCACTGAGCCACCCAGGCACCCCAGAAAAAGAGAACATAGAAAACAAGGAGAAGATAATCAGGAATAATCAAAGAAAATGTTTTAGAATTCAAGGACACATCTTCCCTACAGAATGCCCAGTATAGTGAGTGAGAAAAGACCTATGCGAAGGCACATAGTGGTTACATTTTAGAATACATGTAACAGAGTATATCCTGGGATCAAGCCTCATGTAGGGGTTCCTATTCAGTAGGGAGCCTACTTCTCCCTGTGGGGCTCTCTCTTGCTCTCTCTCTCAAATAAATGAAATCTTGAAGATGTCAAAGAGGCAAGATCTCAAAAAAATTACCTCCCATGGACCCCTTTTCAGGAAGCTCTTAGAGGGCGTGCTGTTCTTAAAGAGAGGACATAGGCCAAAAAAGGAGCTCTGGAATTATTCCAACAAATATGAAATACCCAGATGGGTAGAGAGCAGTGAAGAAAACAGGACCTGCCCTCATGGAGCTGAGTAGGAAGAGGCTAGCTGTAAATACTTCAGTGTATCAGGAATTGACACACGCTGCGAAGAAAAATATAGAAGGGGGATGAGATAGGGTGTAAGAGCCAGAGATGGTGGTGGGGGTTGCAGTTTTAAGTGGTGGTGTGTAGGCAGGGCGGGAGAGGTTTTTGATGACCTGTGCAGGCCGGGAGTACAGCCAGTCCGGGTCGGATCAGGAGGATGACTCCATATTTGTTCTTTATCTGAAATTCAAATTTAGCTGTGCATCTGGTACTTTAGCTGGCATTCCTGTCCAGGAGGGATGTCTCAAAAGATACTATTTTTTTTTTTCCTTCCTGGAAGCCTTTGCATTTGGGTAAATAGTTAACCTTGAATTTTGGTGTGTAGCTTAAGTTGGATGAACCTTTAAGATACTACATTAAGTGAAGTAAGTCAGCCACAAAGGTATAACTATTGTGTGATTCCACTTATATGAAGTTCGTAGAAGAGTCAAATTCATAGAGAGAGAAAGTAGAAGGTTGCCAGGGGCTGGTGGTGAGGAGGAGTGGGAGTTGTTGTGTAATGGGCACAGAGTTTAGGTTTGGGAGGATTAGAAAATTCTGGAGATGGATCGTGGTGTGTGGTTGCTTAGCAGTGTGAAATGTCCTCAATGCCACTGACCTGTACACCTCACAATGTTAAATGGTAAGTTATGTATATAATACCTGATATGTGCCATGAAATTAGGTATATATCCCTATAATAAAAGAAAACTTGTAAGTGGTTGGCTCTGGAGAATGGGAATCAGGAATGGGGAAGAGTATACCTCTGGTTTTCATGATATATTTATAGAGTTAATTTTTAAAACTACGTAGATTGGTGACTTTGGTATAAAAAGCAATTATTGATTTATGCAAATACATATGTGAAAGAGTGTCCATCATAGGAAAGAACTGGAAGCAGCCTATAATAACTACCAGTAAGTATCAGGTCAATAAATTTAGCTGTATTTATACAGTAGAATACTTACTCAGCTTTTAAAATGCTATTTAAAATCAAAGAAATATGTTCACAGTATATTATGTGGAGGAGAGAAGGGGATAAAGGTCTCAGCAAAGCTTATGTTGAATCTTATGAGTGTTACGATTTAGTCTTTGTTATTTATATGAATGATTTTTGTTTTTAAAGTATTTTTATGGCTGATTATTGAGTCAGGTATATATCTGGCCTTGTCATAAAAACACTCTGAATTTAATTCTTAAAGGAGGAAAATGGCAAACCAGTTAAATCTCAGGGAATTTCTACTGTGTGTCCAGTTTCACGATCCTCCAACGAAGCAACTTCCCCATATCATTCCCGACGAAAGATGAGGAAACTTCGAGATCATAATGTCCGAACTCCTTCTAACCTCGACATCCTAGAGCTCCATACAAGGGAGGTCCTCAGAAGGTTAGAGATGTGTCCATGGGAAGAGGCAAGTATTATGACACATGGTTATAGAAAGAGACTTGGTTGTTCTGAAAGTTTTTAAAGGGATAGTAAAAAAAAATAGTCTGGCACTGTTTGTTTTCTAATCTTTGCTTCGCATTGTGGGGTCCAGCAGTACAGATATCCAGGACAGGGAATAGGCTTCAGCTTTCCGAGCATCCATGTAGTAGGCTGAGTAGATTCCATTTTCTTTGCGGACATGTTTAATTGAGAGTTTACCAGATACCCTACACTCTTCTAGCCTCTGGGGAAATTACCAGAGTGAGCAAAACTTAAGTCTCTACCATTGTGTAGCTTCCATTCCAGCTCCTGTTGGAAGAATGGGAGATGAGACGTATACTAAAATAACATAATTTCAGATAATACATACTATAGAGGAAGCCAAGACAGTAGAGGGAGGGAGAGTAAAGGGGCTGGGCTGTGGCTGGCTCCCTTAGCTGGGGCCGCCAGAGAGCCTCTTGGGTGGTGGCATTTGAGCTAACAAATACTGGAAGAAGTCAGGTGGATACAGAACTTCGAGGAAACTGAGGGACGAGCAAGTGCAGAAAACCTGTTCCTTCCCCAGCAGTACCCGCAAGAGCAGCTACTGAGCTGGGAGACTGTTAGAAGAAACCCATTCAAATTTGGGAAATGCTGGCTTAGTGGACAAAGGGGCAAGGGGCAGGGCCTTTGTAAAACATGGTAGTGAGTTTGTGATGAGACATAATAGCCTCATTTCACATCCTGAGTAAAGAACAGGCATAATTTAAAATGAAGAAGATAGAAGTGTTTCCAAATTAAGATGTTTGAAGAAATTATAACTTAAAGACTTTACATTTAAATAATTGTATTGATATTGTTTTAAGCTTTTGTTGTTCTGAACCTCTTTAACCCTTAGTATCTGGGAGAAGGTTCTTTTTGTTATTGAAGAAAAAAATTTCCACACAAAAGAAACCCTCTTTTTTAAAAACCAGCTATGGCTGTGCTTTTATGCCACGTGGTGGCCTTTGTTCCTGGTGACAGCAGGTGGTGATCTGCAAGCTGCTGACTGGGCCTCCTGGGAAGGACAAGGGATTAGGTCAAGGGGAGGAGGACCAGGAAGGACCCAGCAGCTAGTGCTTCAGCAGGCAGGAGCAAGAAGAGAACTGAAACACATCCGGGCGCTGCTGCTCCAGGTTTTCAGCTCTCTGCAAGAGTGAAATGTCTTTGAATTTACTTGACGTGAATTTTACATTCTGCTTTATAGAATGTGTTTTACCGGTGGTGCTCAGGCAGAAAGAGGAGCCACATTCATGCTGTGGTTTTAGGAACCACTTAGTGTTGGTACCGCAGACACTGGCACGGTTTGGGGTGTGGGGTTGTGGTGGGAGGCGGCACTGTCCTGGGTTCCTCTAGTGGAGCAGGTGTATCTGAGGGCACATGGTAAGTTCAGTTCTGTTTTTATACTTTAAGGATGTCTTGAGCTCTAAACTGAATGGAAAATTTAACAAACATCTCCAGCCATCTTCCACGGTACCCGAATGGAGGGCAAAAGATAATGATCTACGGTTACTGCTGACCAACGGAAGGATAATTAAGTACGTAAAGTCGATCACAGTGTCATACAGATGAGTTTTCATGGATTCCCTCTGCTCATTTAACCCCTAGTCCCCGCCAGTGCACATCCTGCTTACGGGGAGAGTGTCTCAGTGCTCCTCTCCGACTGGAGTAGACTGTTCAGCTGCAGTGTCGCACTGTTTTGTGACGTGATTGTTTTCCCCTCTCTGTGCAGGGACGAGAGACAACCCTTCGCCGATCCAAGTCTTTATACAGTGGACAGCGAAAATGAGGAGGACAAGAGAAGGACGAAAAAGGCAAAAATGAAGATGGAAGAGAGTTCAGGAATAGAAGGGGTGGAGAATGAAGAATCCGAAAAACCACTTAACAGTATGTTTGTTTTAATGGTCGTTTGAAAGGTCGGCTTACTACCCGTGTGATAATACGTAAAGTCATGTGCTAATTTTAAAGCTCTGAAGTTTGTAGTAGGACTGAAAATTGTTGTGTCTATAATACTCTCCTGAGAAATTGGAAGTATTTCTGAGTAATCTGTCCATTGGGGAGATGTGAATGTGAATGCCATGTGACATGTCATGCCCAGGGAGTGTTTTTAGTGACGAGGGTATGTGCTGGTCAGTGACACCCTTGTCAGGTGACATTTGTTTCAAGAGTCACATGAAAGCTTGTGCATTTTATGGGCCTCTACTCGAAATAATAAAATAGTCAGAAGTTTAATAGTTTCCTACGTAATTTTAGTGAACATGTATATGGTTTTCAGCATTAGGAGACACACATAATTAGCTCCCTGAAGCTATTAGCAATCAGGTACTGTTCTGTTTGACTGCCTGTTGACAGGAAGACCTCTACTTGGTTACTAATTGGTTATCGTCAGTGTGACAAACAGTAATAAAACCTCCTCCTTGAGATTGTTCTTCGAGTGAAGTCTTAATTTCTTAGCATTTTTCAGGGCCTCCTTATATACCCTTCTATGTTAAAAAGTGGTTAAATACTTTGATAACTTGACAAGAAAAACGAACATTTCGTCTGTGTTGAATACCACGGTTCGAGCTAATTCTAAGTAAATCTGGTATTGCTGTAGTTGGTGACTCTGCGTGTGTCACGTGCCGGGGAAGGGCTGCTCATCACTGGACTTACCAAACAGTTGTTACTTGGCAGGCCACGTGGGAGAGAAGGGCAGTGGTCAAGCCCGGTTTGTAAGCTTGTTGAATTCACTGCTTGAGTGCTTTTGAGGTTTAGGAGAGTTATCTTTTTGTTTTCTCTTGAGAGGAAAAAATGCAAGAGGGAAAGTGAAAAGCATCTTGTAGCCAATTTTAGTGTTGGAGGTTTTTTTCTGGAAAGAAATAGAAAATTTCCACGCAAATGAGGAATGTATCATCATGTTCAGTAAATGCCACAAACGTTTTAAGAGTACAGTTCAATCTGTATCTTAGTCAATTCGGGAGAAAAGTCTTTGGGGGAAGAAAGGAATGAAGAGGAAAGCAGTGGAAATGGACGGAGCCGGGGCAGTTGAGACCCGTGCAGAAGCTGGTCTGACTTTAGGTCCCACCCTGTTCATGAGCTTCCACTGACTTTCTTTTTTTCTCTCTTCCTTTGTCTTCGCAGGGTTTTTTACAAGTGTGAAATCGGAACTCAGGAATCGATCATCAGAATATTCTGATATTTCTGATTCAGAAGACTCTGGACCTGATTGCACTGCACTGGTATGCCCAAACCCCCGAGACTTGTGCATTGCTTGATGGAAAGATGACCCCGCCTTTCCTTCACCTGTTCGGGGGGGAGGGATAAGTGACAGCTTTTCCCAAAGCCTGTCTCCATGACATTTGTGGCACAAGGTCTTCCCTGTAATGGTAATTACGCACACACACCCTGTCGTGTGACTGTTGACATCTGATAAACATAGCTTTTGTCTGGCTTTAGAAAGAGTGGATGTTTTTACGTTTCTCATATTTCTCCTAAATTATATTTCATTTGACTTTAAAGACAACTGGTACTATATGTTTTTTACTAAGGAATTATATACTCCAATTACTAGAGGTTTTAACTCTGTCATAGAAATACAGAAATAATTACATGATAATTAAGTTTCTAAATTTGTCTAGACTGATAGAGTGTTTTTAGTTAGTAGAGACTTAATCAGATTTCTTATATAGATTTGCTTCCATTTAATTATTATCTCAGAAAAATAATTTTACCACTGAAGAGTCTGAAAGTTCAGGTGATGAAAAAAAACAAGAAATAACATCAAACTTCAAGGAGGACTCTACTGTGATGAGGAACTTCCTTCAGAAGGGCCAGAAGCCCTCTAGAAGTGAAATTCCAATTAAAAGGTAGGCTTACCAACGGTTAGTGGCCTTACTACATTGTAACGTAAGCAGTATGAAAACATTTTTTAATTTTAACTTTTACCGAAGATGCCAGAAGAAGAAATAAGCTCTTGTCCTTCTGCTTACCTTCTCTTTAGGGAATGTCCTACCTCGACGAGCACAGAGGAAGAAGCTATTCAGGGCATGTTGTCGATGGCAGGGTTGCACTACTCCGCGTGTTTACAGAGGCAGATACAAAGCACAGACTGCAATGGCGAAGGAGACTGTCTCCAGGATCCCGGCGGCTGCCACAGCAGTAACCAGGAGGCACGACAGGTGTTTCGCTGTGATAAGCCAGTGGAATGTGGTAAGAAACATAAATGATCGGTCTCTAAAAAGTAACATAGGACCCCCCAACGTCGTAGCTCCCCATCCTAGTTGAGGTTAGACAGTATGAGTAAGAACTGTTAATTGCACATCGGTAGTTGGAAATGGCATTAAGCATATTGGCCAAAAAAATACATAAAGTTGACAGATACAAGATGCAAGTTATAAGAACTCAAAATGTAAATTAATGTCTGGAGAATCGTGTTCACTGGCATAATCCTACCACTGCTGTTGCAAGACACTTAGTACTTGTTCCCTTTCGTAAGCCGTTCTGAGTGGAAGGAGTGTGGAGACATCTTACGTGGTCTGCTAGGCTTGAACCGTCAATCCTCTTTCCTTTTGTGGGAGGGAAAACAAGTTTTGATCTGTTTCTGGTTGAGGACATTCTCTCTCCTACTTAAAAAAGAATTATTGGGAAAGAGAAGACTCAGTGATAGCACCAGTGATGGCCATGTAGTGTTTTCTTCTCTGTGCCTTTGGGGGAAATTTTGTTGCCCGGAAGTCTGAGGCGGATGGGGGAGAAGATGGTATCACATGAAAGCCTGTGCAGAGATGCTTGCTGCAGAAATCGTGTTCATTCCCACCTGGTTGTGTGGATTGTATACCAGCAACCTGACATCCATTTCACTTAATTCTTGAAACCACATTTTGGTGTATGTAATAAGACTTTTACAGGTAGAGGCAAGAAGACTTAGTGAAGTTAATTGAACTCGCCCGTACTTACATAGCTGTTATTATCCACTGGTGTTGGAATTGGAATCGAGGACTGTCTGATCTCAAAATCTTGACTTATTGTGTAAGAGGAAACAGAGGTTTAGAGAGGTTAAATAACTTGACTAAAAATCCAGGCGTTATGGAAAAACTCAAATTCAGGTCTAGGTCTCTCTGTCTACACCATTCTTTCTCCCGGTAATTTCTTTGGTCCTCACTTGAAAAGAAGGCTTCTGTGAAAATACTGCAGAATTCAGGCAAACATATGCCTTTATTCTATATGGAAAAATATACCAGTTTTAGAGGGAGTATATTGCATTTGGCTTTTCCATCTACAGCAGATGGCCATAGAACTTGACTCTGGATCTTCCAGCATCTGGCACAAAAGCTGTCATATAGACAGTCTTTGAGAGAGCTGAAAGAATTAACATGTTAGATTGTGAGCTGATGACTCTTTTGTTTTTGAGAGGGAAAGCAGTGTGGTGGAAAGTGTATGAGTAAATAAAGCGTTAACATAGTCGTTTTTTTAATAAAGCGTCAACCTAAATGGACTTTTAGTTTTAAACACTAGGTGAATTTTGCTTGTTATGATCAAGTTTGTGTGGAGAAAATTTAATTAAAACTCCTGTTTAGGGTACCATGTCAAGACCGAAGATCAAGACTTGAGAAGTTCTTCCTGGATTAAACAATTTGATACAACTTCCAGATTTCATCTTCAGGTAAATTGCAAGGCTTGAAACATCAAAAGGAGATTTAGGATCATCATTAACTCTTTCTCTCTTTTTTTACTGCAACCAGTAATTAACCATTAGATCTGGAAAGCTAAAAAATAACTTATGAATAAATGCACATTTCAACAGCTGTCTGTTTTTAGGAATTCTGATGTAACAACTAATACAAGGCTCACGGGTAGACTGTGATCTGGAAAAGAATAGTTTAGTTGATTTAAGGAAAGTTGAAAACTGGCAGCCAACACTTCTAGGTTATGTCCGGCTGGAAGGAGGGGGGAGGGAAAAGTACCATGAGGATCTCTCTTTAATCTCTGATGTTGTTTCTTGAACATTTTTAGACAGCAGATTTCTTTGAGAATTTGATGACAGATATTGACTCTATTTCCAGAAAAGTGTTCATCATAAATACTGATTTTTTTTAAGAATTTTTTTTAAGATTTTATTTATTTATTTGATAGAGATCACAAGTAGGCAGAGAGGCAGGCAGAGAGAGAGGAAGAAGCAGGCTCCTCGCAGAGCAGAGAGCCCGATGCGGGGCTCAATCCCAGGACCCTGAGATCATGACCTGAGCTGAAGGCAGAGGCTTTAACCCACTGAGCCACCCAGGTGCCCCATAAATACTGATTTTTGCATAGCATTTTCTTATGGTTTGTGCCTCACCGTTACTCAGACCATCCATTGACTCCAGATTAAGAGCCCTTGCTCCAAGACACTTGATGTCTTGGGACCCCAGCATATAAATGCTTATACCAAATAATATGAACCTCAGATAGCTTTTTGAAAAGCCACAGCTTTACCAGTAGCACCAAACAAGAAAAGTGATAGGACCTTTGGCTACAAACTTTGGAAAATGACAGCCAAAGAATCAAAATTTTCATGCTGCAGAGTAGAGAGTCCCCTAACTTCTCCAACCCCAAGCATATACTGAGTAGTGAAATCATAGGTGTTTGTTTAAGTAGGCTCCATGTTGGGATGTAGTCTCTGATCCAGGGCTTGAACTCATGACCCTGAGATAGAGCCAAGATCAAGAGATGGACGCTTAACCACCTGAGCCACTCAGGCGCCCCGATGGATGGTTTTTATTTTCTTCATTTGCCTTTCTAAATTTTCTAAATACTTAGACATTTAACAATGACAAAAAGAGCCAAGTTAATTTTTTAAGGTAATGTTTTGTAAGTACAGGTTCTTTTAATAGAAGAGTATGCTCCAGAATCAAAGGTCAAGGAAGGAATCCCTTAACTATTAGTAATTCACTTATTCAGTGTCTAATTTTATAGTGCCTTAGCAGTCATAATGTTTCTAACTTATTAGCATTGTAGGATTCAGTATTAGAAGTAAGCTGTTATTGGGCTGCCTGGCTGGCTTAGTCAGTAGAGCATGCAATTCTTGATCACAGGAGTGTAAGTTTGAGTCCCACTTTGGGTATAGAGATTACTTAAAAATAAAATCTTTTTTTTTTTTTTAAGTAAGCTAGTATTTGAATGTAGCTGTTGTTTTTATAATTGTCTTTGAAAATAAAGAAGTAGAGGACAGATGATTAGTAAGATCACCTTAGAGAAAGTTTTCTTTTGCCTGTAGTGCTGTTTTTAAAGCTTATTTGACCATTGCAGAATCAGGTATTAAACACACACACACACACACACACACGGCTAGTTTCATGAAACATCACATCTTCAGTATGCTCTTTTCAAGTTTGTATTTTCCTCTCCTTTCCAGTCATGACCCTTTCCATTGGTTTCAAGACCTACCCATCAGTAGCATCGCTGGCTTTTTTCCTGATGGTTCACTCAGTGATCTCTTAAAGAGATTGAAGGAAGAATTGTTAGAGGAAAACCAGGCTTGGGGCTCAGCACCTATGTGCTTTTTTTAGCAAACAATTTAAATACAGTGGAGATGAACCGTAACAGAAGTTAGATTCTAAAAAAGATAGTGCATCACACCGTGAGAGATACACGGGAGTGTGACGTGCTGAGGAACTGGTAGGTTCACATGTCCCAGCCATGTGTTCCTTCCATGGCATGTCAAAGCACGTGCAGAATGCCATATTATAATATAATATACATTACATATAATATATAGATACATTTACATATGTATGTATAAAGTTTACACACACACACATATTTTTTCTTCTGGACTTAAGTTATGATGCAGAAGTTCCATACTTGAATCCTTTCATGCTGTCAGGTTTTGGGGTGACACCACCTTCCTGACGGGGTGGTCGTCTGTGGCTGCTACATGTTAAGAAAACCAAAGTTCAGTGGTCTGTTTCTTCTCTCCCTTGACTTGCTATTGCATAGAGAGGTTAAATACCTCACTTACCGTAAAGGAACTCTAAAAATCCAGACTTATTTCCTTCCTTTTTTTAGGATCTAAGTAGAGGCCAGAAATGCATCAAAAAGGAAGGCTCATCAGAAATCAGTCAGAAGGTACAAAGTAGGAATTCTGTGGACAGCAGTGGCGCAAGCCCTCAAAATGGGAAGTATACGCAGAATTCCAGCTTGATTTCAGGGGCGTGCCGGATAAATAATGGCAGCGTAAGCCCCGAAAGGCCAGTTGGTGAAACTTCCTTTTCCGTGCCCCTTCACCCCACCAAAAGACCCGCGTCAAATCCACCACCTATCAGCAACCAGGCAACAAAAGGTAACGTGGACACGTCAGTCGGCGGAGTGTTTTTGGCCGTGTGTGGCAGTGGCGGTGGCAATTCAGATAGGTGTAGCGGCCTCCGCCATCGAGCTGCCCGCCACCTGCCGCCTGATGCGCTCTGGCGGGTGCAGCGGGGCGGTGTGCGCAGGTCGCTGTGGGCCCTCAGCCGCAGGCTCCCTAGGTCAGCCCCGGGCCTTGGGCGTAGCTTTCTGAAGGGGGTGGTGATCCCGTCGAGGATAGTAAGGGGTTAGCCCTGCTGGGTTGGGGAGGTGGCAGGGCAGACTGCAGTGGAGGTCAAGGAGGTAGTGTGGCCCACGGTACCAGGGTGAGAAACGGTTCATGGGCTGTTTATGCAGCTGCTGTCAGTTTTGTGGCCCAAGCGCGGTTTGATGCAAGATCGGGTCGGGGCCCCTGCTCGAGAGAGAGGCGGAACAGACCGTGGGTGGGCCTGGTAGGTCACGTGAAGATTGGCTTTTCTCTCTCGAGTAATGCGATGGGAGGTTTGGAACAGGAGAATTCCGGGAGTGCGGCTTTGGCCCTCTAGCACACCCAGAAGCCTTGCCGCATAACCCTCCCTTGAAGCCTTCCCGGTGCCGTCAGGAACTGTTACTCACACTGTCGTTGCTGTCTCACAGGTAAACGTCCAAAAAAAGGAATGGCCACAGCCAAACAACGTCTTGGGAAGATCCTGAAGTTGAACAGAAATGGCCATGCCCGTTTCTTCGTGTGACGAGCTGCCACTACGGCCGCTCTTCCCTTTGGAGACAGACTAGTGGCGGAGGCGCGGGAGCCTGGCGCTCCCCGCCGCGCCCCTGCCCGGAGCAGTTTGCATGTACAGTAGAGAACACTGCCGGAGGAACAAAATGAACCTGATGCTGCATTTTCACTGTGCCACACCCACTCAGCAATAACCGTTTGGACCTGGTGGGGGAGAGGAAGGAGGAGGGTAGAACCTTAAAAAGAGACCTTGAACTGGAAAAGGTCTCTTGTCAGGGCTTGAATTTCATTTTGTTGTTGGTAGTGTCTTGATTTATTTTCAGTGGTAGGGTAAAGAATTATCAATAATTTATTTAACAGATTTTTTTTTAAAGTTAACAGCTTTTAAATTCTTTCTTTTTTAAAGCTATTTATTTGGAAGATTTCTGGAGAAATATCTCACTAATTTAGATTTAAGAATGTGAAAGTTTTTAAATTATTTTTGATAGTGTGTATGTTACATGTGGGGAAGAGCCACAGTAACAGTAACTAGTCTGGACTCTTAAATTTGATATTCAGGTTAAAGTCTTAAACAGGGATTTGATGCATTAATTATTTTAAATTAAGATGTATATGAAAATCATTTTATTTTATATATTTCATGTGTTTTTTATAAGCTATTAGCTTCGCTTTTGCTAACATCCAAGGTGCATACTGTTATCCAGGTTGATTACCTTATATCCCACCTTCCCTCTGCACTCCCCATCATTTTGTGACGACACAACAAGACTCTTCTCTTTGCAGGGAAACACTTTCATAGCCAATGTGTAAGAATTACATAAAAGATCCCACATTTCTCATTTTGTTTGACGTTGCAGTTTTCTTCTAATTCTGTAAAAATAGGCTTCTTGCATTTTCATTTTTGCTGATGATATCTGGGTCCCAAAGAGAACAGCTTTAATATCTTTTTCCTACTTGTGGGAAAAGGATTATAAGTTTGGTTAAATTGTCATGTTTATAGTTTTTCAAATACATTTGTAACTACAGAGGGCCTTCTTCATACTGCTGGTGTTGGAGGGCAGGATGAGCACCTGCCACAGAGGTTATATTTTATGACGCTTTTATTCTGTGTACCTAACTTGTTGGAAAATAATGAGATATGGTTTGACTTCGTATATTCAAATTTGCATAATAAGCCGTAATATAATAGGAATATACTATATTAAGTTGTATAGAAGCAAGCATGTTGGAGTAGATCTTTTGGGTGTATGTGTGTTTAGTTTCTTCTCTCTTAACCTTCTAAAGAAATATCTAAGATATGGATTTGGAGTAAAATGGGTGCTTCTTGCAGTTTCTTCCATCTGTCCTAACTTAACCAGTGTATATTGAGTATCTGGTTGAGCTTTAAGGAATCACTTCTCTCCTTTATGCATAGCTCTTACTAAATGCCAGTTTTCAGTTGCTCGTAATAGCTTATATTTTCCCTTTTCCTTCCCATGGCATAAAAATAAGTGATTTCTGGGGCTGGGGTGAAGATATTCCCAATTCTGACAAAAAAAATTTTTTCTACAAAGAAAATAGAGCCAAATAAGATAAATTTTATTTTTATGGAGAAGTAATATGGCCATATTATGGATTTGTCTCTTTTACTCAGCAAGGTAGCAGGACTTGCCCTTCTGTATTAAGTATCACTTGAAGCGCTAAGAAAAAACATCTCTACTGTCATCTTTCATGGTTGCATTTAAATATGTATTTTCAAAGAGAAATATTTCTTATTCTGTCTCCATTCCAGTATCTCATGGAATAAATGCAAAACAGCTTATGGATTAACCTTTCTGATCCAGATGACTAGACCAGATTCTGGGTCTTATCTAGGTGTCAGGAAAGAGTTTTTACAGAAACACTAAATGTCTGTAAAGGGCCTACGTCACTCTGTCTACACTCTGCCAAAACTGGTTAAGAGATGGGTATAATCAGTCATTTGTTTGGTCACTGGATCTCAAGATGTCAAAAGTTGGGGTGCGACTGATTTTCCTATCTCCCAGTATGTAATGTTTTGGTTTTCTGTAGACACTGTTTTAGTGTTAGAGTTCACATGATTTTGTTTTGGTTTAAGAAATCAGAATTATAATTCCTTCTTAGGTTCTTTTGTTTTCTTTACATTTTCATAGCTCTAAGTATTTTTAATTACCTGACTTTTCTTTAGCTATAAAAAATTAAAATCAGTTTATTTTTATGAGTTAAAATGGTGACCAGTATCTGCCCTGTGTACTTAGGCCAGTACATCTAATTTTAAGTAGCCAGAATGTGTAAGTATTAAGGTACTATGGATTCATTTTTGGCAGGTTTAGACCATGAACTGGCTACATGAAAAAACTTTCAGTAAGATAATCTAACCACTGAAACAATTCATGTATCTTTTTCCAAATTGGTGAAAATTCAGCCTACTAGCCTGTGAGTTGCCTAGTCAAGCTTGTTCTATACTTACTGGCTGTAATGCCTCCCTTTATCTTGTGGAAGTGGCTAGATTCCGTGTTTTCCTCAGTCTCATTTATAAACCCTCTACCACACAGAAGCTGCAGCTTAGACAAGGAGACAACAGTGGTGGCATTCAGCTAGTTAAGTGCAGATAAATAGGTAAAACAGTTGTTACTTAACAGATGCGATTTTAATGGTAGTAGTAGATAATGATTTTTTCTGTATTGATTGAAACAAGTGACTTCTGTTAACCTGGGATCCCCTGTACTGGGATAGTGTCACATACTGTGCTCTCCAGGATTGATGAATGATGTCAACAAGACAGCTGGTGGTTGATAGTAGTTCAGCACCCTAGAAATACACTGAATTTCATAAGCATACAGATTTTAAAATTCCAACTGAAATCCTAGAAACCCAGAAAAAACAAGACCATCGTGCCCACGATGTAAATACTTAGCTTCAATACTGGTCTGTTTTTTAATAATCCTAATTCTTGCCTTGTCAATGAGCCCTTCCGTGTTGACTCGCCTGATGGCTGCAGGTATTTATCCAACGTCCGTGTGCCTGGTTAGACTTAGTACTGGGGGGACCGTAAAGCTGGGGTGGGAGGCTTTGTTCTGGAAGGTATGTTCACCAAGAAATAAGCAGTATTACTTTCATTTCTAAGCAAACTTTAAGCAGAAGAGGCCCTGTGTAGTAAGAAAAAGAGCATAACTTTATTAGTTTCAACTGAAAAAGTACAACTGTAGAAGTGGAAGTCAATTTTTTTTATTTTTAAAATTTAAGAAACATTTTTTCATAAGTTAGTAGTTTAATGTTGGTAATAGAGGGGTGTGATATATAGCATGGAAGGGAGGACGAACCTGGGTTTTTGTTCAAGTTCTGTCATTCACGGATCAGCCGTGTGACTGTAAATAAGTCACTTACGCTTTCTGAGTCTTGGTTTTCTCATTTGGCAGTTTGGATAAAAATGTGGTTAAGAAAAACACAGAAAAGCATTCCTTAATTATTGACACTTCATACTTGCAGAGAATTTATCATTATTTAAATTACAACTGACAGCGCACATTTATATCCTTTTTAAGTGAAAACCGTTACTCCTAAAATCTGTTTCATATCGAGTATATGCCCAGAGCATGCTACCTAAAACATCTGAAGAATCTCTAAGAAGGTGTTGGATTAAAATCAGAATCCATGCTTGAAGTGAAAGAAAAAGAAGTTAGATAGTTGGTGGATAAGAGTGAGAATGTGTATCCCCACGTAATCATTAAGATGATTTAAAGGAATTCAAAGGTGGTTTTAGGTTTTGCTCAAAGACGAGTTAGGACAGTACTGCTCCAAAGGCTCTTCCTACTCTTCAGGCACTACATAGAGGTCAAGTAAGTCATGCAGTTAAAATGTAGCAACTACCCAAGGAGCTAGGGAAAAAATAGAAGGTGGTCCGAAGATGGACACCAACAAAGACAGCTCAGGGCTGGCTAACAGCAGCTCGCTGGGTAGAGGGAGAAACCACAGCCACTCTAGTGGTGGAAAGGAGACTTGACATCTTCAAAGGAGAAGATTCTTTCTGTCCTTTTCAAGAGATGCTCTCGGTAGTGATAGGGCAACTCCCCAAAGAGTGATGAGTGATTGTACGGCCCATGGGACTACTGCCAGGAGTAACTATTGCAGCATGTAAGCATTTTGCAATTTTATATTGAGAGATGAATAATGTAAATCTGAAAATTTTTCAAAAGCTCATTTTCCCGCATTAAATACTAAGCTAATTGCTCCCTCTGAAAAGAGAAGCTAAAAATCATCAGTCATTTTCAGATGTCCAAGCTTTTATCTAAAGCAATCTTGAAAAGGGTGAACTTCAGATCGTGAACTTAGGAAAGGAGTGTTGCTAGTAAGAAAAGGAGACCAATGAAAGCCAGGAGGGCAGTGACTCACCTGGGGTCACAGAGGACCCTAGACCTCAGGTAGCTGCTTGCTTAGCCCCTGTTGTGACACTGTGCATCCTGTCCTCATCCAGGGGTGGATGATGGTCACGCGCTGACCACAAGTCAGGTGGAAAGAAAGGGGGACAAATAATACACTTACTCCATTGCTGATGAACGTAATGTAATTTTAATAATACTGTAGCCTTACTAAAAACCCTTTTATTTTGTTTTTCACTGAACGTCATGCCCTAAGTCAAATTTTTGATACCCTTATGTAAACAAAAATTTTAAAGTAAGGGCATTAAGAAGCAAATGCCTATTTCCAAAGCAATTAGCTTATCATGACTGTGGTTTTATTCTTTTATCGCATTTTTTCCCTTTATAATGGGTAGGGAAAATAATACTCACTTGCCTGCATTACCCCTTAGACTCTCCCACTCACCCTTGGTGCCCTTTCTAGTGTCCTAAAGCTTTGTCTTAGTAAGTGCAAAGTTAAAATTTTTGTTACAACCTTTTTGAAACTGTATTCAGTGATTCTTCCGAGTTTATCTGCTCTGCACTATTTCACTACTAAACCCTGGCTACCACGTAGCCCTTGACCTCCAAGTAGTTTACCTATGCAAGACCTGTGACATTCTGAATTCACTTTTCTTTTTTTTTTTTTTTTTTCAGAAAACAGTCCTAAAGGGAACTTGATCATAAAGATAAACCTTGCCTCCACCCAGTTTTATTTTGGCCATTTCCTTTTCAAAATGTCAGCTCTTTCCCCCAAGACTTTTCACCAAAACAATGATCATAAGTGCTGGAATATAGAATATTTTGCAGGAATAAAGTAACCCAGACATACTCTTAACATTTCTTTGTGGATTTTGGTTGGTAACAGTTACCAGCATTACGTGTGATATATAATGAGGAGTTGATTCCTTGCCTAGAATCATTTCTTCCCTCTAAGATTCATAAGTAACCTTTTATTTTTACAAAGCATACATACAAACTTCTACATTATAGTCAGGGACCTGAGGTGTAACTTGCTAAGTGAACCCCAAGGTTATTTTATCTTGCAAAAGAAACCTAAACCAAACTAAGGGCCTTACATTTATGGTTAGACTGAATCAAAAGCTATAACCTCAGTTTTTTCAAAAACAGCTTCTGACTGCAAAAGCAAGTCATGCAGTTGTTAGGTATGAAATAGCACTGATCAGGAAACACATATGCATCTTTGCAGACTGTATTTCCTTCCGAAAAGACTTTTCTACTTTTAATATAAATTAAGCCATAACAGTTTCATGCTGTGGAAAGAGGGTGAAAAGGTTCATTTTAAGAGATTATATAATATGAATTTTCACATTTACTGTGAAATGTCTAACTTTGCCAGTGCTTCAGCAGGTTTTTTGGGGGGTGGGGGTGGGGGCGTAGAGGGTGGCGATGCGGGGGTAGTGTTGGTTTTAGGGGTTTTAAATCTGTGAAATTTGAAAAGGGGACAGTTGTTGGCTATGGTATTTACTAGTTTTGTAGTAATGTTTTGCTAGCCTGACTGACTTTCCTTAACTGATTTTTATGCCCATGGTCCAAGGTGACTGTTGCCCTTTCTTGTTTGGGGTGTCTGCGGAGTAGTGTCTTGTCTGTTTGTATAGGCAGTCCGTATGTGTGCACATGTGTGTCCTTTGAATACAGAAGCACACGGTGTGACAACAGAGTGGGGTGTGGCTGGGAAATGGGATGCTGAAGCTTTAAGAGCATTTTTTTTTTTTGATTCATAACAGTATTTCCCATCTTTTGCCTGCAGGCAGGGAAAGTGTACAGTATTTATTTTGTTTCTGTTTTAAATTTGTAAGTCTTTAAGTAGCTTACATTGGTTATTATAGGAGACGACAAGTGACTTGTTTAAAGTTGTATTTAGTACTCTTACTTTCCAATTTCTGTATTTTAAAATATTGAAATTAAAATTGTATTACTTCTGTTTTGATTATTTCAGCACTCGGTGTATTTTTTGCTCATTTTGTTTGAAAGTATAAATGTTGAAAGTTGTATAAAATGTGTCTTTGAAAGAAAAAAAAATCTGAATTCTATATCCAATTCTGACTTTTCGTTCCCTTTTTCTGCTTATTGACTCATAGGAGATTTGAGAATGTGAAAAACTGTGTCAAACTTATGCTTCTT